TAAAGTGTACTTTAAATAAGATAATATTGTTATTTATATATATATAAAGAAAAATATTGAAAATATAGAGAGTTAATTAAATAAAAACTAATATTTATAATCCATAATATAGACTCTATATTATAGACTTTATATATTGAGTTWTTATTATTATTATTTAAAAAAACATATGATATCAAAGATAAAACCATAAATTTAATTTTTCTATTTGTATGTAATTTTAATAGCTTATAAAGTTTATTATATAAACCAATAGATAAATTTATAATAATTATACATTAATAATAATCTTAATAATAACTATTATATTACATATATTTTTTACTAGCACTGGCAATAATAGTGGCATTGTTATGGCTATTGGCGGCCACCCGAATGTGTATGATACTGGCCTCGGTGACGGCCACTGTGACCACTATGTTGGCCACCGTACAGTTTGTAGTAATGGTTAAGTCGCCGTACTCACGATTCATCGGCAATAACATGTATAAAGCGGGACCCGAGTATCAGATGCCGGCTCACATATATTTCAGAAATGTTAAACAGTTTATAACGTGTGCAAACAATAATAAAATAGCTACCAGTGCTCCAAAACCGGATGATCCCATGAGTGATAATCATATACCCAAAATGCACAGTCCTTTATAACATTAAATTTATTGCTTATGAATGAAAATTATGATTAATGTTTTTTTTAAATAAATATTTTGTTGGTATTAATTGATAATATTTATTATTAATAATATTTGTAAATTAATCGTAAACAAATTTTTTTTTTGTTATTTGATAAGATATATGTGTATATTTTCCAAAATAAAATATTATTGTTGTACTCTATATTTAATAAATGCTGTATAAATACCATTATTATATATTAAAATAAAAAAATAATTGTTTTATTTGTTTATCTCTGTTTGTACTGTATGTATGTATGTATATGTGCTTTATTGTATTRATGAAAAATATATTATATACTATAAATTATCAAATAATAATCACATAATTATATGAATCTCTTGGYAATTAGTTTTTATCTAAAAAAAGTAATAATATTTTTTGAAAATATTTAAATATATAATATTATTAGAGATGAGCAAATAGAAAGTTTCTAATAAATTTCACTGCAAAAGTTTCTAGAAAATTTTTCAAGAATAAATTTCTATATTCTCCATACTGTCATATAATCATTATAGTCATTATAATACTATATTAATGAGACAATAATATAGATACAATATTATACTACATGTACAACACTACTATACAAAATGGGATACCTATATATAAAATAATTATAATTATTTAATAATAATCAATTTTATAAAATTTTATTCATTTTTTATTATATATTTATCATACAAGATAATAAATATAGAGAAAACAAAATTAACCATGGGGATCATATAATAGAATTTTTTAGAAACTTTCTAGAAATTTATCTTTTGCCAACACTAAATATTATTATTATAATATATATTGAATAAAATATAACATAATTTATAAATTACGGTAATATAAAAATTATAAAATACTGTAAATAAACATTAATTTTGTTAATTTACTGTATTTACTGAATTTATTTAAAAAAATATAGTTTAATAACATTTTTTTATATAATAATTGCTTGTTATTAGTATATTGTTATCATTTATGAACAAAAACATTTTATAATAATATTATTCATAACTATATAATGCTAATTAGTTTTTAAAATGCAAAAAAATATATAAAATGACTGAAATATTTATTTATTAATTTGATTTTTATTTATTAACGATTATAATATGAATACATTTATAAAATATTATATTATTAATAAATATATAGATGTGTTTTAACAATGTTTGAAAACATCATTTTTAATAATTTTCATATCATATTAATAATRATAATAATAATAATAATAATAATTAATGTTCACAGTTTATACAAAGCATGATAATTAAATAAAATTGATATTTAAGTTAACTTTTGGAGCATGGTACAATAGATATACAAGTATAGTCAAAATTTACATTAAATTTTTTGATAAAAATTAATTAATTAAGTAATAAGTATATAATTTATATGTATAAATTTTTAACAATTAAATTAAATTGTGCAATTACATTGTGGACATCACATTTAATTATTATAAATTTACTTTTTTCAATGTATCAGTATAGCATTTTTTTWAAAAATCACATTTAATAGAAATCATCATAATATAATAAATTTAAAGTATTTATATATATATATGTGTGTGTATTTACAATTAGAAAATTAACAAGTTAATTTGATAAATAATGTTTTGTATGTAAATATTTAGTAAAATATTTAATAAAATATGTTTTTGTTGATAAAATTATAGATAACTTAATTGATAATATTAGTAAATTAAATGTTATTTAAAAATATTAACAAATATATTAAAAATTACATATAAAATTATATAAATATAAATGATAAAGTTAATTAAAATTAAAAATATTWAATAAGAAAATATAAATGAAATATATTAAATATTTAATTTTTATTATTTCTAAATGCTATTAATTTTATAGTAGACTTTTAAAATTAAACATGATAAATTATGTTGGTAAAAATTAACTTTACTGATAGCTTTATTTTAATAATACAGTATACTTTATATAAATAATTTAAGGTTATATAATAAATTATTAACCAATAATAATCAAGTTTGCTGTTTGCGTTAATACTATTTTAGTTTTAAATGAGAAGCGCTTAACAAATTAAACTAAATTAATTATTTAATAGTAATGTTAGTATAAGTTTTTTTTGAGGCTTTATTTAATAGAAAAATTGTAATCTTAATAAAAATAATAATAATTTTAGCGATTTCATGAAAAATAATCAAAATAAATGGCACAGAATTAATATTTATATTTAATTTATATTTTTATATATAAACATAAGCTATTAGAGTATATATTGTATATCATAAATATGTATACCTATATATAACAATATACAGTATTAAAAATGATATGCTAAAGTAATAAACAATGTTAAGCATTGTATATTTTTTATTGATGGTCAATGAATAGGCCAGTATATACCGTATATAAACACAATAATACATATTTGACATCAGTCATAGCCTTTTGACATTTAATAGCTTATATTATATATAAATTATATATATATATATGTGATGTAACTTATAATAAGTTTATAAAATACAAACCAAATATTTAAAATAATATAAATCACAGAATTTATATGAAAAAATAAAGAGAAAGAAAAAAAGAGAATATAATTAAATGTAAATTTTTGTTGTTATTATTTTGAGTGTAGTTTCATTTTTTTAAAATTTTCTTGATATTGTAATTATGATAATACTGTAATAATAATAATAAAGACTAAATAGTTTGAAATAAAACTCAATTTTGAAGAATACTTCGGAAAAATACTGCAGAAAATAAGCAAAAGGTTATATCAATATATAAATTATTTTCATGTGTTTTGTTTTTATTTTTTAAGTTTAATTTATTATTATTTTTTTTAATCCGGGAGTACATGTAATGCAATGTGGATTGTAAATAAAAAAACTATTTTTTCTGTATAATTAAGTTAATTTGAAATATATATATATATATATAGTATACGGATATATAATATTTATTTGATTATATACTGTATATTATATAATATATATATCTATGTATGTGTAAAAAATAATAATCAAGATATACAAGTATAGAATCCCCATGAGATTCAATCACTAACAGTATACTTGTATGTACTCTAATATCTAATTGTGTAATACTTTTTATATAATTTTTAGATTTAGTTTTTTTAACTTGTGTTAGMTATGTTTGTTGAATTCAAAATTTATGTTAAATATTTTTGTGGTATTATATAATGTAATAAATTCAATATAGAAATAGAAACACATTAGGATTATTGACACAAAAAAATATGTATATAYTGTATATTATATACAGTATATGTTATTTATATGCGTTAATATATTTTATAACATATAAAATACAGCATTTCTAGCGGTGTTTTTAAACAAATCTGTATTTAAGTTAATTACTTAATAAAATATCCAAGGTTAATCTTACTTAACTTTTCGGATACTTATTACCGTTATGTGATACTAATGCAATTAAGATTATATTTTACTGATCTAATAGCTATAATCTCTACTAAAAATGATATTTTAGATGCAAAATATCAAATTCAAAAAAAAAATAAAAATCAAAACTAACTTAATTAAATAAATTCAAAAACATATACAGTATCTTACAATATTAAAATATTAATACAGTATTGTTTGTATAAATATTTAATTGATAACTGTTTTTGTATGTATGTTTGTAATTGTAAGTGTGTATGCGTGTGAGTGTGTGTGTGTGTGTAAAATTTAATGTATATTTAAAAATATGATATAAGCTCATGAGTAACCACATAAATATAATGTTTATTAAGTGTATAATTGTTGAGATCACAAATCATATAAAATATGTAAAATAATTAATCATTTTTTTTGAGTGAGAAATGATTCATTTTTATATAATCTTGAAATATCTTTAATATTTATATACAAATTAAATCACATTAAGTATTGAAGGCTTTTTCCCAGTATTTTATGGTTATCAGCACAACATTTAGCGTCAATTTACTGTACTATTCAGTATGTCTATGATTTGTACAGAAATTATTTAATTTAATGTAGGGTTTATATATATATTATTATTATGTATCTGTGGTGAAGGAACGGGATGTAGTTTAACGATATGTATAATTAAGTAGTAATACATAATATATTAAACATATACTTTACAGATATCTTTGTATGTTTTGATAGATTGAAAGAAAATAATTGGTAAAAGCAATTTAGCGTAAACTAATCTAAAATAAACACTACATTTAGTAAATCTATAGGGAAATGGACTTGGTAATTTACCAAAATAAACATGGTCATTAATCTTATATATATATATATATATTATACAAACGTTATATGAATATATGTATATTTATATATATATATATGTATCCAATGAGATGTTATATTCTAGTAAACTGTGGCTGTTTTAGGCCATTATGTTGGTCTACTGTAATGGCAATGGGCTCGAGTGGTACGTCGACAAACTGTGGTTCACAACCACCGCCGACCACACCTACCGGTGCTGACGACAACAGGTTCGGCGACAACTGATACGAGTTGGAAGACGAGTCCTGAGCCGATGATGATTGGCGTTTGCTTTGTATGTGAACCCAAAATGAGATGACTAGGAATGAGATCAACGATATGATGAATAATATCAGATTGAATGGGAACGGTATGAAGTATAACGACACACATAACAGTATGGCCACAATTATGGAGATTCCTGCAAATGAAAATATATAAATTTATTTATAAATAAATATATATATTAGTATATTTATACTATAAAAAATATTATGTTACATTTTATTTTGCTTTTTGTAGTGATTTAATATAATTAAGAGATTATTCTTGCAATGAATTATTGACTCACAGTGTGTGTGTGTGTGTGTGTGTGTGTGTGTGTGTGTGTGTGTGTGTGTGTGTGTGTGTGTGTGTGTGTGTGTGTGTGTGTGTGTGTGTGTGTGTGTGTGTGTGTGTGTGTGTGTGTGTGTGTATGTCTATATATATTTGTGTGTATATGTGATGTGTGTTAAAAACTATTGTTATTTTATGTCAATATTTACTGCCTTTTATTAGCGGTTGAAAAGACAGTTATCGATAAAAAATAAATTAACGAATACTTACTGAACACCCACTCGTGAACTCCAGTTTCGTGTTTACCGAGCGATGTGTTTATAGAGCTACGGGTGCGACCAAACCCATCACCTCCGCCGGTGTCATCCGCACGACCTCCTCTTTTGGAGCTATTTTTAAAAATATATATATATTTATTGACAACATTTCATGTTATTATTAACATAAACATATGTAAGACAGTAAATCATAAATATTTATTGATTTAGTCATTAAGTTTAAACATTTATATATTGTATATCAGACTTAATTATAATATTGTAAGTGAATTATTAAAATTAATATTGACTGTATTGATGTTTTTTATGATAGTAAACTATACATACAATGTTAATAGTGTATTGTTATGTTTTTTATATATAAAACTTAATATCAAAATGAATTAAAGTTTATATGTTAATATTATTTTCTGTATTTATAAATAATTAATTTATTGACTTTACATATGATACTACTGTTTAGATTCTAGTCACTCTATATTCAAAGATTTTATATATTTACAGTGATATTTGTATTCAAGAAAAAAATCAATAAAATTAGATGTTAAGATTAGTTGAAAGCATAATAATATTAATTATTATAATTATAATAAAACAAAATAATAGCAGTCTTATTAGAGATATATATATTTTATTTTATTGTATTACATAACTATTACATAAAAATTATCTATTTTTAAAATTATAGATTTCACGAATTAAGTTATCATATGGCAAGTGGCATATAATACATATATACGATATATATTACAGTTATATCATATATACCGTATATACTCAATGAGCAACATGTTTATCCATAGATATAAGACTTGTTATACTGTAATACTGTATTTTATATAATGTATTTATATTTTGTTAATATCTAATATTATTAGTATTATAAATAAATAATAAACATACCTGTCATAGAAATACCTATTGGTCATCATCTTGATATAAATCACTTATGTTGTTGTTTAATCAATATATACAATAAATAATATATATTATATATATATATCTAAATTTGTTAATATCACACACAATACTGTTATATAATTATATTAACAAAACAAATTCTAGATGTATATAATAAGAATAATAATAATACTATAAAATGTTGTTATATAATGTTATTTAAGTTAACATTTAAATATTATGTTTTATAATTTTAGTGCCGACGACACATACTAATATATAATGCAATGATATTAATACTACTACCACTATCACTAATACCAGTAATCATAAAAATATATCATATAGTTATATATTTTTTTGTGATAAATTACTAATAAAAAATAATAAATATAAAAAAACTAAAAATTTAAAATATATACACAAATTACAGAATATTCTGTGCACTAAATTCTATGAACTAAAAATCGTGACTCATATTATGTTGACTATACTATAAGCACATATTCACACATTGCTGTATACTGTATATACAGTACTACTGGTATACATAAACTATACACACATACAATACAATCTGCTTTATCTCTTATATATATATATATAAATATATATATATTGAACTATATATGATGTACAGTGCAGTATATATAAAACTCACACGGCTTATGTATGTTGTTTTTCTCTCCCCCTCCCCATTACAGCACACCATAGCCAGACAATTGTGTACCAGTGCTTTAGATTCAATATTGCGCTCTCAGACATAACAGTATAATACTAGTATATATAATATTTTTGATTGTATTTTAGTTGTGATGTAAAATATTAGATTTTCGGTTCTCGGTTTGGATCGGTTTTCAAGTCATAACTTTAGAGAATCTTTTACTAGAATTTATTATTTTTTTAATTAACTAACTATTTGTGTTTTATATTACTTTAGTATACTGTAAATATACTGTAAAAATAGATAAATTACAAATTGACAAAAAAAATATTTCTAAAAAGTTTATACTTAATTAATATTTGTGTAATAAATGTTTAACTGTTAGTTATTTTAAGTAAGTCTAATATAGAATTGTTATCGCGATAAATAAATATTATTATGAAAATTATTTTATTAAATTGATTAGGGTGGAAACTAATTTGTTGGATCATATAAATATAAAAGTGTTAAAATATCGGATCGGATCACTAAAAAATAATTTCCTAGTTTTTATCTCTAATATATCTCTAATATACTGTATATATATACCTAATAAACCATAAGTCAATTGACAATGGGATTGCCATCTAGTATCTGGCAATCTATTGTTAAATAAATTAATTTTATGTGATTTTTTGATCTATAAATGTGTGTGTGTGTGTGTGTGTGTGTGTGTGTGTGTGTGTGTGTGTGTGTGTGTGTGTGTGTGTGTGTGTGTGTGTGTGTGTGTGTGTGTGTGTGTGTGTGTGTGTGTCAATGTWTATGTGAAACATAAATTGTTGACTAAATATACCAGATTGTTTGACATGTAAAAATATAAGCTTGTTTACATGTAAATTTTAAACATGACTATTTTTAGTTTTAATACATATTTTATATCATATGACATACATACAGTATATCTGTATAATGATATAAAAATTGAAAATTTACTTTAATATACAGTATATAGTTATAATATATATATAAATAATATCTGTTTTTAATGTATAAATTATTGTAACCATTAAAATAACATAATAAATTTTTAATAAATTKATATTTGTTATTTTTTCTTGTAAATACTAATGATTTTATTACAATCATTAATAATATATAATATAATAATACAATATTTTAATAATTATTATACTATTGAATACATTACAATCATACTTGAACAAACAATCATAATACCAATTGATTTTTTATTCACAATAATTTATATTACAATACAGTAATAATAGTACTAATAAATGCAAATAATTTATTGTAATTATATTATAGCAAAAATATAAAAATTTTGTTTTTTCAAAATAAAAAACCATTAATTCATATGAATTTACAGTAAATAGTTACTTTTGTCAATTATGTATTATATTTTAAATTATTAAAACTTAAATTATAATTAATATTCAAAAAAAAAAAACAGAAAAGTTTTGTTTTTTATCTGTTTTTTTATAAAAACAGTATATAACCCTGTTATGTTTGTAAAACATTATACATAAATGTACTGAATATGTTGTTAAATATGTATTTATCTGTGAGTATTGATTTAATTAAAATAACTAAATGTTTGGAGAGAGAAAATATTTTTTAWWAAAAAACACAAATTAAAACAATATTTTTCATATACAGTACATATTCTAATGTATCACATGTTACACAACAGCCTATAATAAGCACACATCAAGTAATTAATATATTAATATTAAATTTATATACATGAAAGACTTGGATAAGTATATAAAAAAATATGTTAATAAATAAATTTAAAAATTAATAAACATACAATATTTATATCATATAACAAAAATCATAGTATATATATCATATAATATTATATATATATATATATATATATGTATAAAATAATAAACTAGTTATTTAACCAAAAGAAAAAATTGTTTTTCATTATTGTTTTCATTGTCATTATTATTATTATTATATTTTCATTATTTTATCAAATTTTCTCAAAATGACGTTCCGAGTCGTCCGGCGATATAGTAATTGGTTCGAGAGGTACGTCAACGAGTTGATGGTCTGCATCGTCTATACCATTGCTCGGATGATTGGGTGAGTATATGGCAGTAGACCAGTCACGGGATGATAAATTCAAACGAGACTGTTGGCGCCGGTATAGCCAATAGGATGTCGACAGGAATGCTATCAACGATAGGATGAACAGGGCCAAATTGATGGGGAACGGTATGAAATAAAATGAGATCAACAATAGGATTGCAATGACAACTGAAATCTCTGTAATTATATTTATAAGAAAGAAAAAACAATATTCAATGAATCATAATATTCATAATAATAATAATAATATCAGTATATTGATAATCATGTTATTAATAATAATACTATTGTTAAAATAATACAGTAATAATCAATTTATGAAATGATAGAAAAAAACATTAATTTTATAAATCAATTTATTTCTAATCTCAAGAATAATTTTACTAATATATATATATATATATTCTCTGAATTTATTATTATTATTATAATTATAATATAAATTATGACTTACGATAAAATCGATTACATTCCGATGGATTATGTAGTTTAGATCCATTCAACAATGATTTAGGTCTATCATTGTATAATTGATCTTGTTGACTTTCCTGGTGCTGTACGCCACCCCTTTTACCAGGGTAGATATTTTCAATCCATTTTCTATTACTAAATTAATATTTGTTTCCAATAATATGTTCAAATATAAATTAGATAATAATAATTTTTTGCTAGCTTATACAGCTTGTATATATWTATATATATGATATATCACTTACAAATTGGTATTTATATACTTACAAAAACATTGAGTAGAAATAATCTCTTTATATGATATTTAGATACAAATTAATAATATATATATTAAATATAATTAGCAGACATTTGTATGTAAATGTGGTCCCAAATAATTGTTAGTCCAAACCAAAATAAATATTCACATTTGYTTTAATATATAAATTAATTGTTTTATATTATAAATTTAATTTTAAATGTTAATACAATCAGAATATTCTTGATAATTGATAAGAAACAGAAATCATCGTATAATCTATTTGTTGTCTATATATTTGMTAATTTAATGAATATATTTGTATTAAAATTCTTGTATTAAAACATTATTATCAATAATTGTTAGTTAACTCAAATTTTTGACTGATTTAACACTAATCAGTTGTGTCAGTCTAAACAACAACAACAACAATAGCAAAGTATTTGTTTAGTATTATATGATATTTTGTTTTGAAGACATAAACAGACACTGAGTTCAGTGTAGTGTTGGCAAAAAAAGAGAAATTTCTAAAATAACTAAAAAATTTCTAGAAAGTTTCTAAAAGAAATTTCTGTCTATGGGATGTCCATGTTAATTTTGTTTGTTTTTTTGTTATTCTTGTAACAATACATAATTAATACATTATACATAATAATTACAAGAAATATTGTTAAATATTATTATTAGTATTTTTAGTTAGCAATTAAATTTTAAAAATTAATCTATTTAATTACATTAAATTTAAAATATATTTAAATAATAAATAAAATATTTACAAAAATTATAATTATAATATATATATATATATATATATATGGATTTCATTTGTATTGTAGAGTAGTGTATAGTATCGGTATATATATAATATATAACGTAAATTACAGTATTTTTATGTCTCATTTCTCACTTATATAGTATTACAATAGTTATAGATATGGGAATCACATARTACATTAGTAAATTCTATAGAAATTTATTATTGAGAAATTTACTATAAATTTTCTTATGGAAATTTATTAGAAATTTCTATTTGCCCATTTCTTGCTCAGGACGAGTTCACTGTCAGCACAGGGATAGATAGTATGGTATTTACTGTCAGTTACTTACAGTAGTATTGTATCGAAATACTGTAACATGTTTTACAATAATAATTGTAATATACTTTACTTGCATATTGTGTGTAATATAATAAAATCTATTTCGAGGAAATTAAATTTTGTTATTAAATAACTAAATTGTTGTTTAGAAAGTTTAAACAAGATTTTACACAAAACTTACTTTAATTGAATAATGGTTTTATTTATTATATTACAGTTACTACATGTGTAACTATACTAAATAGAAAATTATATGTAATAATACTGTATTATATGTTTTTTTTAAAGTATAATACCTTTTAACATATTACTATAATAGTATATAATAGAAATTATAATTAAATTGTTTATTTTTAAAATAAAAACTTATTAAATTTATTGTAATAAAATCTAATAATTTATTAGTTTGAAAATTGTAAATTTAATTTTGTTAATATAAGTAAATTGAAAATATTAGTATTAGTACAGTACAGTACAGTACGCTAAATAATATAAGTAATTTTAACTATCAATTATCACTTATCACGTATAAAGTTGTCATAAATATCATAGTTATTACAAAACGAAAGTTAAAAATATAGACAAAATATTAGTTATCAAATATAAGTTTAAATTTTCATAAATAAAAAAAATGTAATTAATTTGGAAAACAGAATATTCATATTATAATTTTAATTTAAGTAATTGCTTTTATTTTTCATTTATTTGAATAATATTTGAATCTTATAACAATTTTTTTATTAATCATCATTATATTGATATATCATTTGCACGCAATTACTCTGTTTGTGTAACAAAACTTATTTGTGAAACATTTATGATATTTACCACTCAAACTACAAAAATAAGTTTTATTTTSTTTATATATTACTAAACTATGTATTATTTAATCAAAATCTGTAAAAAAATATAAGAATTAAAAATTATTTTTAAAAATATAAATTAAAAATAAATTCTAATATACAGTGTATAATATAAACTATAAATAATATAATCAATATATTAATAAAAATATGTTTTTAATTCATATTTTTGTAATTGAATGGCTATTATTAGTGTTATAAAAGTTATGATGTTATAAAATATAAATAAATAATATCAATAACAATTAAATATCAAGCTAATTTTTATATAAAAAACAAAATACATTGATATAATAATTGTATAAAATATTTATTTATTTTTTAGTTGTGAATAAAATCTTTAAAAATATTAAATTCCATTATAATTGATTATTAATTATTACAAATAAATAAAATAATTATTTTTATAAAGTATAGTAATATAACACTTAATTAATTCAATGATTGTTACAAAAATTAAGTATGATTTTTAAATTTAATTAATTATTGTTTTAAAATAGAAAATTATTGTTATGTTGTGTAATAATAATTCAAATTAATTATTTAACAATTATAATGTCTTTAATAAMATAAAGAATTTATTATTTTAACTTATTATAATAATTTAATAAAATAAATATAATAATAAATTATAACATTATCTTAATATTGATATTTTCTACTATTATTCAGTATTATCTAAAAACAGGAAAACTTTGGTTAACATTTCTGTAAAGTGCCGGTAGATTAGTCTGAATATAATTGTTTACTTTTTGTTTAACACTACTATATTTAGGTGGTCTACTTTTATATACCGTTTTAGTATGCCATACTAGTATAATGGTACAATTGTTGGCTAAAGGTTCCAGCTCATCCATGGCTATATGTAGACCATCTAAAAAGCTTGTTTCTAACTGTCCTCCTTTATAGATCATCGACGCATTTGGATGGACAAGAAAATACTGTARATTTACAGCAAAACCAGCCATATCTATAGAAAACTTCCGGTGCGGATATGGGTCCCACCAACCGATCACTATTCCAGTTGTTTTGTTGACTAAAGGCGATGATAATCCGATATTACGTATTAATCCAACGGGAAAGACAGACACTTTACGTGTTTGGCGTATTTCATCAAACAGTCGGATATCGTAGGCATTGTCGTCGTCTGCAAAATAGATGACACCTTTCTGGTCGCTACCCAAGTATTTCTCCCGAAGCCATTCAAGAGCCCTTTTCCTGTTGGACACTCCGCGACCATATTTGTTAGTATTGCTGTAATTTTTGGGATGTGCGGCCAACATATGGACATAAGTTATTCCCGATCTGTTTAATAAATCAATGACACCTATCGATGGTATWGTAGAGTCTTCGACAACTATCCACAATATATTCTGTATGTGCATCAGTGTCTGTGCCAACCGAGTCATRTCMGGCATTTGTGTTGGCCGAGTATAGGTCGGGGTTATCACATAAATAGTAGATTTTGGTGACGATAGCGGCAATTGTGGTTTTGTTGTTGTGATCTTAAAAAATATAATTTCGTAGACTATAACCAATAATAGCAAACATATTATGAATTTAACATTTGAGATATTTTTATATTTGGTTAAAATATGTTGTGATGTTTTCATATTATAATTTATAATTATTATTTTACAAATTAATATTTATTTTACGATTACAGTATACAATATTTATATGATATTTTAAAGATTTACTGAATATTGATAGTGATTTTTCAATTTTWGTGCCAACTCATTTTTTTATTTAAAATATAATATTAATTTTTAATTTTAAAAAATAATAATTAGGGTCATATTGTGAAGCCTACACCAACTTAGGTAACGCCTCGCAGCCTAACCCTAATTATRATGTAAATACATATCTTTAATCAATAAATCAAAATTAATTGAAAATACACTCAATTAATATTCAATATATTAAATGAGTATTTAATGTGTAATGTGTGGATAAAATCTAAATAAGARTAAATAATTTTAATATTATATTATAAAATAATTAATCTCCTTTAGTAATTAATTTACTTTTTAAAAATTTAGTATTTTTTACTATTAGTCAAAAACTGGCAAACTTTGATCAACATTGTCGTAAAGGGCTCTATCATAAAATCAGACTCACGACTCATGATTTTTTTGTGAATATCTAATAATCCATATTTTGAATATAAAACTAAAAAATGGCAATGTTATAGACAATTTTATACTTAATATGTTTATAATTGATCTTTTTTTTATTTACTATTATTATTGGCCAGATAATAGCATCAGTCATATTTTCTGCAATTATCAATTTTAATATTTTCAAAATATGGTTTATTAGATATTCACAAAAAAAATCACGAGTCGTAAGTCTGATAGTAAGATAATGCCTCGTAAAGCGCCAGTAGGTTATTGTCGATATACAATAGTATAGTCGATGTAGTAGTAGTGTTTTTTTTATTTTATTTTTTTGCTTACTATTGCTATAATTAGGTAATTTACTTTTTTATATGATATATCGTTTTGTTGGTTTGTCATACTAGTATAGTGATATGACAAATGGTTCCAGCTCATGTTTCTATTTATAAATTGTTGTTCAAATTGTCCCGTTTTATATGTCGTTCACACATTTGAATTTGACGAGAAAATACTGGTAAGTTTACCGGAAAAAACCTGCCATATCTACACCAAACTTACGTTCCCGAGAGGGACTTCACCAGACAATTACTATTATTATCATTTTGTTAGGTATAGGCGTTGATAAATCTGTACCTCCTATTWATCYAATAGGAAAAACAAACAYTTTAGGTTGTTTTTAGATTACAATTATTGTAAATGTGTTTATTTTAATTAATTTAATATTTACGTATATATATTACATTACATATTACAATATTTATATGATCTTCAAAAAGTTAACTTATTTGTTAATGAATATTGAAAATGAATTTTCAATTTTTATGTCAACTCATTRCAATATTTAAGCAAACATGTATAATACTTTTGTTTTTAATCTATTTTACAATTAAATAAAAAAATATTAACTCTAAATTAATATCTTATATTTATATATTCCAGGCAATGGCARATAGGTTTAATGGCTTAATTTTACGCTTATATCTTGGTTAAATATGTAACATTTTAGTAGGAATATTTAAAAATAATTTTTATTTTTAAGATTTAATTATACTTATTTTAATAGGAAAATAAAACATAAATTGTACTAGATAAAAGGATAACCCTAAAATTATACTATTAAGCCTAGTTCAATACTATCCTACTGTTTAATACCGTATATTTTTACATTAAATTACAAAATAATTAGTCTCTAAATATTTACTAATTAATTTACTTTTTAAAAATTTAGTATTTTTTTAAAACTATATTATCTAAAAACTGGTAAACTTTGATTAACATTGTCGTAAAGCGCCGGTAGATTAGTGTCGATATAGTTTTCTACTTTTTGCTTCACGTTATTATAATTAGGTAGTTTACTTTTATATATGGTTTTTGTATGCCATACTAGTATAGTACTACAATTGTTGGCCAACGGTTCCAGCTCATGCCTACTTATTTTTAGGCTTTCAATAAATATTGTTTCCAAATATCCCGCTTTATAGATCATCGACGCATTTGGATGAGCGAGAAAATACTGTAAATTTACCGCAAAACCTGCCATATCTACGGCAAACTTACGACCCGGACAGGGGTCCCACCAGCCAATTACCATTCCTGTTGTTTTGTTAACTATTGGKGTCGACAAACCCGTACCGGCTATTAGGCCAACGGGAAAGACAGACACTTTACGTGTTTGGCGTATTTCATCAAATAGTCGGGTATCGTAGGTATTGTCGTCGTCTGCAAAATAAATGACACCCTTTTGATTATTAGCCGAATACGACATCACAAGCCATTCAAGAGCTTTGTTCCTATTGGAGACCCCGCGGCCATCTTTTATCGTATTATTATGATTTGTTGGTCGGGCGGCCAACATATGAACATATGGTACTTTAGATCGGTTTAGTAGATCAATGATTCCGATATTGGCAACAGTAGAGTCCTCGACAACTATCCACAATATATTCTGTATGTGCATCAGTGTCTGTGCCAACCGAGTCATGTCCGGCATTTGTGTTGGCCGAGTATAGGTCGGGGTTATCACATAAATAGTGATTTCTGGTGACGGTATCGGCGGCGGCAGTAATGTTGGCTGTAATGATTCGGTTGGTTTTAATAATAATAAAAATCGTGATAATGGATGAACATTGCAATCAGTTTGTACTGATATTATTGTTGTCGTGATTTTGATAATTATTATATTATATAATATAACCAATAATAACAAACAAAACATCAAGATAATTTTTTGTACACATTTAGATCTTGGTACTAAATATAATTGTTTCATATTATATAAAAAAATAAAAATAATTTTTTTCTATTATAAAATAATTAGTTATTTTACTAAATGATAATAAATTTTATTAGTGTTTTTTTAATTAACTTTCAGAGAATTATTAATAATTACATTATTCATGTATCTGTTAATATATATATATATATGATATTTAATTGACTATCAGTTAATTAATGTTTATCATGATTTGTTAATTTATTTGTCAATTCATTCATTTTATTGTTTTTAAAAATATTATTAGTATTTAAAAAACATGCATGTACAATTGTTTTTCATCTAATTTATAAGTAAATAATTTTTTTTAATTATAAAATTAAATTATTAAATAATTAAAAATTAATAAAACATTTATATACATTAAAAAAATTTAATAGAATAATTTGTAATATTAATTTATTAAAATAATTTACTATTCAATTTACAATAAGACAATGTTATCACTTTTGACTATTATCTAAATACTGATAAACTTTTGTTAACATTGCTATAAAGTGCCGGTAGATTAGTTTTGTTGTAATTTTTAACTTTTTTCTTTACATTACTATAATTGGGTGGTTTACTATTGTATACAGTTTTTGTATGCCATACAAGTATTTGTGTACAATTGTTGGCCAACGGTTCCAGCTCATGCCTATTTATTTTTAGACTTTCTATAAATATTGTTTCCAATTCTCCCGCTTTATAGATCATCGACGCATTTGGATGGCCGAGAAAATACTGTAAGTTTACGGCAAAACCTGCCATATCTACGCCAAACTTACGATCCGGACAGGGATCCCACCAGCCAATTACCATTCCTGTTGTTTTGTTAACTATAGGGGTCGACAAACCMGTACCGGCTATTAGGCCAACGGGAAAGACAGACACTTTACGTGTTTGGCGTATTTCATCAAACAGTCGGATATCGTAGGCATTGTCGTCGTCTGCAAAATAGATGACACCTTTCTGGTCGCTACCCAAGTATTTCTCCCGAAGCCATTCAAGAGCCCTATTCCTGTTGGACACTCCTCGACCATCTTTTTTGGTATTACTGTGATTTTTCGGATGTGCGGCCAACATATGAACATAAGTTATTCCCGATCTGTTTAGTAAATCAATGACACCTATCGATGGTATAGTAGAGTCTTCGACAACTATCCACAATATATTCTGTATGTGCATCAGTGTCTGTGCCAACCGAGTCATATCAGGCATTTGTGTTGGCCGAGTATAGGTCGGTGTTATCACATAAATAGTAGTTTTTGGTGACGATAGAGGTGATGGTAGTAATGTTGGTGATAATGATTCAGTCGGTTTTGATAATAATAATAACAATAACTGTTGACCACTGGAAACAATTYGTGATTTTGTTGTAGTATTTGTCGTAATCTTGAAAATTATGATTTCGTACACTATAACCAATAATAGACAATAAAACATCAAGCTAATTTTTGAAACACTTTTCAATTTTGCAACTGTATATAAAATTTGCATTTTGTATAATTTAAATAAATTTATTTTTATAAGTTTTCACAAGTTTTAAATTTAACTGTTAATTAATATTTCTATTATTAACTAAAAACTTTATTTTTTAAAATAATGACAATTACTCGATAAATTGTATTATACAGTACAGTGTTATATTTTATTCAACTCATTAACTGATAGTCAATGATAATAAACTATGGATTTATTAAATTTTCCATTTTTTGATAAACTATTATTATTATCAAATAAATGTTTAAATAATTTRCTATAATGTCACGTAAAAATTGAGTCTAATATAAATTTATGCAAAATATCAGTTTTGTAGAACTGATTCAGTATATTATATACATATTATTATATAAATAATAATAATATAATACAATTGACTAATATATAATATAATATTTTTGGCAATTCTACAATATTGTTATTAAATTATAAATATAATATATTGTTATATTGCACACAATTTTTGTTTTTTTATGTTTTAATAATACTAATAATAATAATAAATTTAATAATAAAATATTATCATTTAATTTTGTTAAATGCTGTGATAATTTCATTCATTTATGCAAAATAATGTATTTTTTTATAAATGCTTTACTACTAGTTTAGCATATCAGTTATGTTTTAACAAAACATAAATATATTTTTATAAATTATATAAATATATTTAATAAAATAAAATAGATTMTAAAAGYATAATAAAAATTATAATATGTTGTCGTCAAATAACAATTTTCAATAATGTTTATTATATCTATTATATAAATTTGTTTATTAGAACAAAAAAAACAAAAATTTTGACTGTGACACAAAAACATATAAACATTATTTATCGGTAATAAATTTAATATTATATATTTTAATATTTGTAATACTAGTTACAATTGATTTATTTATTGGAAAAAATTATAAGAAAAGCACAATCAATATTATAATGTTAATGAAATTAAAAAAACTCATTAAATAAATAATTAATTTCATTTGTCTTATAGATATTCCGGTATTATTGACAGACAAATATTATATTATCATTTTGTCCTTAATTTTTCGATTTCAAGTATAATATAAAATGTTTTATGAATTTAATAAAATATCTAAACATAAATATGTTATATATATATATATATATATATATATATATATAAAGTGTAATATATTTATAAATATCATAATTAGTAAGTTTCGGGAAGAAGGGCTATAATGTGTTGCGCAATGTATTATAATAATATAAACAAATACGAGATATATAATTAAAAATAATTATATAATTGTARTTAACATGTTTTTATTTTTTTGATTAATTGATTGTTTGAAACTATATTTTGATAAAATTCATAAAACAAAACAAAATGTCAAAAACGGATAAAGTAATAAAAGATTAAATTAAAACATTATATTTGTTAATACAATCCTATATTTAGTTTTACTATTGATTCCGCAAAAAAAATTCAACTATTTATCTTTAARTTCTCATAAATTATAAAATATKTATTAATTAATGTAAATTTATAAAATAAAAACATATTAACTACATATTTGTTAATAATATTAATTTAATTCAACACATWATTGCCATTTTTTTCTCGAAKCTTATTAATTAYTATWMTATTTATATTTTGTGGATATATATAAAAAGACATTTTTGTTGATATTTTAATTATTTATCTATTTTTTTAGTTCACTCATTTGACTTTAATAATAACAATAAAAAAACAAGTTTATACTTTAAATATTAATTATTTACTTAAAAATAAACAAAATTATATTTATTAATTTTTTTAAAACATAATTGAGCATATGATACTTTAAAATTCTCTCTTTTTAAAAAAATATATTAACGCATCCCTGTGCTGACAATATGCCCAGAAATTAAAATTAAAATCAGGTAATACTATATGAGATATATTTATATGTTAGGAGAAAATACTGTATATATTTATAGGCATTGAAAACAAAAATAAAATTTTTTAAATTTATTAAATTTAAAATATTATTTTTATGTTACACATACAGTATTAAAAGTACATATCATATACAGTACAGTACACATACATACACACAATACCGATAAACTAGTTTTCATAAATAGTAAGACTCGAAACTAAAAATATTTTTTTATTATTATTTAAATACATAACAAATTTTTGTATATAAGCCTATTTTGTTACRTATTTGTAAACTGTCGGTACTGTCTTTTTTTTGACTAATACTAGTACTACTACTACTACTATTACTAACTATTACTAGAAATACTCCACAAAAAATATGTGTCGATAATATATCACTAGAAGATWATTACTCAAAGTAAAAAACTTTTTTAGTAAATAAAAAACTATTTTTACAGTCAGTCAGTAAGTGTGGGTACAGTTGGAAAAGTCATTTTTATAGACACTACTGATTTAATGAGTGAAACTCTCAACAAAATAAAGTTTATCTCAGTGTTAGTTATTTTAAAAAATTGATGCCTATCCCAGTGTTTTAATATAATATAATATTATATCAAAATATTTATAAAAAAAAAAAGTTATTTCATTTGACAATTGTTATTGTTTTGGATAATTATCTTCAAGTCACACAACTAAACTAAACAATATTTAAATTTATTTTTAGTGATTGTGTGTTTGTGTTGAACACTATTCAACACATTTGTTAATTATCATATATAATAGTCATTATAGTGTATACAGTATAATAATATTGTTACCACTAGTATATACCATAGTTTATATAATTTAATATATATATACAAAATAGTATTCAGTATAATTTGCAGCAAAAACTTGTTTTGAAATTTTTATATTTCACTTTTGTTGGTGAGGTTGTGTGTGAGTTAGTGAGTGAGTGTGTGTGAGTMAGTCTATATAAGTTAGTTGTCCATCAATACGGATAAAACAATGGGAAAGGCATGGCTTTTGCTGATCATCATATTGATTGTCATAGTGGTAGTGGTCTGGTATTTCATGAAGAAACGCAAACAACGAAACCGTGATTTAGCTGCTGCTGGTGCTACCGGTGCTCACCCGCAACATGTTTAGCCCTAACAGCCCTAATATATTGGTTATTATTATTAGGATGAGACTGACAATGTATATCATTTGTTGAGTTTATATATATTAATATTAAATATCATTCAACATTAATTTAACATATTTTTTCAAGTATGTATATATTTAATTTCTAATTATAATAACAAATACTGTATATTATAATAAGAAATAATATAAAATTTTCACAATAGATATAATTAATTGTTTTTGTTTTACTTGATTTTTACCATATATAGACATCGCAACAATAAAAATGACATACATTTAAATTGTATAATATAAAGTACTGTACCTTAAATGTGTATTAAATAATTATATCAAATATTTTAATTTTTAATATAATATTATAATTAGTATACTATAGAATTTATACATTATATTTAATATTTATAATTATTTAATAATGTAATCCATTTATTGATAATTTACAAATAATGACCAGTAAATAAAATATAAACTATAGAATTATATTTTAAAATTAACAAAATGTAATGTAAATATTACTTTAAAAAACTAAACAAATAAAAACTTTTATAATGAAAAAATTATTCATATTTTATTCATAATTTATATTTTTATTAATGTTATTAATAATTTAAATATATATTTATTTTTATTTATTATATTTGTATATCAAAAAACAGTTTTATTAATACATTATATTTTTGTTGTTGTATATTATTTATTGTATAATTTACACATAATTTGTATGTTTTGTTGTTTTGCATATAAATAAATATATATATATTTATTTATTTATTATGTATTTTTGTAAATGATTTTAATGTTGTATATAATTTAAATGTTTTTTTTCAAAATAATAGTCTTTTTTATAATCATTAATATTTTTAAACAGAAAAATATGTTATTTTGATATAATTTTCTTACAATATATTGATATATATATATATAAATATAACTTTGTTATTTAAATAGCACTCCTATCAAACAATTAGATAATTAATACACATACATCAACTAATAACTGCAAATAATAAAACTAATAATAAGTTTAATTAACAATAACTTAATAATAATCAACTAAACTATATAACTATTAAAAATTTTACATTTATAATAATAATAATTAATGTTTTGTGGTATAATTCAACCCAAAATGAATTTGACATTAGATATGGTTTATATGGAAATTGAGATACAAATCAATTTAAACAATAAAAAATAATTTACAATTAATCAGAATATATATATATAATATTACCGGTAAATGTATCAGTGTTTGATTTTTTTAGAAACATTTAAATATATTTTTTAGTTTTAAAATAAAATAACTACTAAATCAACAAAAAACATAGATATAAATAAAAGTGTGCGATTAATTAGATTAATATATGAAAATATTGTTTCTTTTAAAAAAAATTGTTTGCAATAGTTTTGTCTTAAATTTAAATTAATTAAATATTAACAATTCAATGATTTTTTTTTATAAATAAATATTCAATGTGTCAACATTTTTAGTGTCAAAACAATTACCAGTTACTGTATTACTTGTTTAGAAAAAACAAAAACAAACAAAAATTAACAATTGATAAATCGAGAGAAAAATAGATAACTTACAATTTTATACATATAAAAAAACATTTTACAAAAACTAAAAATAATAATTATTAATAATAATAATAATCAATAAATCAAATTAACAATAGTATTAATAATAATAATAATAGTAATAATAGTAATAATACCCAAACAATAATTTGTACAATACTTTCTCTCAATCCTTTCTTAAACATATTAGCCTTCAATTATTTTTATCATTATTACTGTTAAATTTGAGCTTTGATTCAATAAATATATATACAGTATATTAATAGTTTACTTTAGTTTGTATTAAATATGATTTTTCTAAGCAATTTATCAAATCAAGCAAATTATTATTATTATTATTATTATTTTCAACAAATAAATTATCAATAAATATAGATTATATATACGATTTTACGGTAATAATGATTTGCTGTAGAAATAATGATAATATCTGCACATATTGTACCGTAATTTTCCTTTCACTTTCAAATATTTGAATTAATCAATGTTTTCAAATAGTTTATATCGCAATAATTATCATTCATAATAATAATAATATAATTAATTTACACTATTTTTATCGACATTAAGACTGTGTGATGGTAATGATAAAGTAGATGATAATGACTATGATATAATGTAGTGTCACGACAACTCACAGTATTGTGTCCAACCGTGATTGGGAGCACCTGTAGTTTATAAAAAATAAAATTAAAAATAAAATTTTTATCATAAATCAAATCACAACAATCGAAATATTACCTAAACATATGAGACCAACTGTTTTATCTTTGGAAGCGGTGACCAAAACTGTTGTAAAAATTTCATTATATTAATAAACAATATTATAGTTAAATATAAATAATCTTATTTTATACAATAATCAACAAAATTTGATATATATTATAGCAATCGGTTTTAACATACACTCATCATAGGGTGATATATCCATGTCTTGGACGTCGCCTTTGTGCCGAAACAGTTCGCCGAGACATTTGTGATAGTTTGGATAGCGTCGATACCTGCGTATGACACCGCCATCGCCGGCCGCGTACAATAGACTACCATTGCTCGAGTACCGTAACTTCCAGATCTGTTGTTTGCCAAAATCGGGTAAACATTGGCGCTCTTGAATGCCCGACTCGGGTACGTAACTGGATATGGAAGCACCGCCGACCATCATGACGGACGAAAAACCATCGTCCAGTGCCGAACCGTACTCCTCGGGAGTCAGGGCGACAGTATTGGAGGCGTGACCCACTTCGAAACAGTGCAGGAATCGACCGTCCACTGCTGTGGCCTATTTAGTTATGAAGAGGACAGGGATGTTAATAATTATATAAAAAATGAAACAACATTTAACTAAATCTAGATAATAAATAAGTTGATTAACAAAATTAATGTACAAAAACTCGTTTAGATATAATGATAAATATAGTGAAAAACAACAATTAAAGATTTGATTACAAGTTTGATAATTAAATCATAGTCTTATAGATAAATATATTAAGATTACGGTAATAGTATAAAATAGTTAGCTTTTGAACAGTTTTAATTAGCCATACTTTGACAATGCCCTGGGCTGAGACCGATAGGACGGCCTGTTGATGGGTCGACTTGACAAATGGCCAGCTATTGTGCAGGAATGTTATGTCGCGGATCACGTCTGGATGTAACTGTTGATAATTAAAAGAAACAAAAATTAATTTAATAACTAAACAAAAAAATATCTTAATTGAGAGCACAAGGAAATGGCGATCACAACAGTGGACAGATAGACGACAACAACGACAATAACTCACATCAAATATAAAATCTAAAGGCAGTGGCATTCGTAGGTCAAAGAAGGTAAGTCCTTTGCCGTTAACGCACGAACACACGGCCAGATGAGGACACGCCGGGTCAGTGGCCAACGCGGCCCGTTCGCGACCGTTGAAGGCACAGTTGTCGTAGCACATCAACTGTTGGCCAGTCTCTACGTCCAGCACTGACAGTCGGCGTGCAGTTGTGGCCGCCAATATCTATTGACACAAAATATAACAATTTATAGTTAAAATGTCTAATATCGGGGACTATTTATATAACAATCCCCATATATTGACCAGAGTTTAAGTGGTCAATCTTGCAATCATAGCATACCCTGCGTCCATCATTTGTAAATCGGACGGCATTGACATTGCGGGCCAAACCCATTGTCGTTACGTGAAAACTGCGGATCAGTTCACACCTTAATGCGTGATACAGACAAACATTGCCGTCGTAAGCGCCCGAACAGAACAGATAGCGATCGGTCGGACTGAAGGCCACACCGCGTACGGAACCGCTGTGATGACGAAGAAAACGGGCCGAACCTAATGACTCCATTGTTGTGGACAAACCACAGACTAAATCTTATTGTCTAAACTGTTATCTTCACTGTCCGATTGTAACGATGATTATCGCAACTGTTATCGTTAAGACACAGACTGTACGGTAATTATGATCACTAAAACACGTCCACCACTACTACTATGAGATCGGCTAATGGTTTATATTGCACACCGATATTGTGTTTGGACAGACAGACAGACACACACACACTCACCACTGTTTTATCGGTCGGGTGAGTGAGTGGGTGTGTGTTTGTGTGCGGCAGTTATCACCAATTGTACGGCGATATTGTCGTTGTTGTTGTTGTTGTTATCATCATTTGATTTGCTTATCACTTCATCGATGGTTTAATTATGGTTTCATTGATATAATTGATATGATGTTTGTTGTTGTCGTATATATTATATTATATTGACTTTCAATGTGTTTTTATTTTGTGTAAATCAAATGCAAACACATTGTGAATGTCTTTTAATCAAATAATATAATAATAATACAAATTATTTTTTGTTAAGTTATTTATTTAGTCGTTAAAAAAAAATTAAATGCAAATTAATTTTTTTATTTTTTGGTGAAATGTTTGTCAAATGTTATTATTATTATTATTATTAAAACATAACATTTCACTTATCATATATCGTATACCACTGTATATACAGTACTACACACACACACAGTCTGTATCTACACATCCATACAAAGCGATTGTCTAACAAAATGTGATTATTATTATTAATGTCATAATTACTATATATATATTAAAAATCTAATAGTTTTAATAAAAAATTAATATTAAAAAAATAATTAATTTAATTAATTTGATTTAATAGAATAACTACTAATATATTATCATTTTTTTTTAAAACTGCTAATACATTACAACCACGTTATAAGTTATTAATACTGTATATTACAGTTATACTACACTATACAAGTGTATGTATGCCCATACAGCTTATGGCTAATACAGTATATAACTGTAGCGTTCAATATATTTTAACTAATATTATATTATTACTACTGTACTGTATATACTGTATATATTGTGAAAATAATATAAATGTATGTATTTTTAGTTGAAAATTGTTTTACGTTTGCAATATACAGTATACACTCTGTATAATGTGTGTGTACATAATACAGTATTTACTCACACATATGATATCGGGTTTAAACACTATGCGWCTGTGTGTAAGTATTACCATATTGTGTGTGTGTGTGTGTGTACTATGTGTTGGTTAGATACCAAAATTCCCATACAAATAAACTGTACATGTAAATTTTTTAAATTTAAAAATAATAAATTTAACTTAATATATAAACTTTTAGATTATGTTTGTTAAACTTTTTATAAATAAGTTTGATATTTATTTATAAAATAACTTAGTTATAGGGTTTATAAGTAATCAAATAATACTATTTATATAAAATTGTGTGCTGGTAATATTTTTTAAAAACTTTTTTATTCAGTAAAATATAATATTTTACATTATTCATACTAATACAATAGTTTATAAATATTATTTTTAAATAAATTATAACAAAAGAAACTATAATTTAAATAATTATTAAAAAATAAATGAATATGTTAATTTTTAAAATAAATTTTTTACAAAAATAATTCATAGACAACGTAACAAATTTAACCTTGATTGCGCAACACTATTTTTTTATTATTGAATGATTGCGGGATTTTTGAAATTTTATGACAATTCAACTATAAAAATACAATATTAAAACTATTGACATGCATTTTTTGTTTGTAAAAATATGTTTATTTTTTAAATAACAATTAGCAAGTAAATATTTCAACATTTTAACAATTTGTATTATTATATTATCATTATTATTAAAAAATATATTTGTTTAATATTTCAAAATAATATTGTTATAATTTTAATTACTTATTTCAATGTATCTATAATAGTAATGACTAATATATTTAAATAATAATAAAATATAAGTAAATTATTATTGCAATTTATAAAAATAGCATAATCATTTTTATATAAATTAATTCAASTATGTGTATATACCTATAACTATAAAAAATAATTCATAGTTAATATTAGTTAATAATTTTATAAACAACTAAAAACTGAATGATTTATTTTTTTTGAGGTTATAGAGAATAACTAATTGATTTTAGATATAAAAAATTTACAAAATAAGATGATAGTCAATAAAATTAGTTTATTCATAATTAACAATAACTATTAATATATTTTTTATAAATAACAATATTATTACAATTATAAACTTAACAACAAATTATATTTTTATATAAATTTACATTTTCATATATACTCTATTATATAGAGACTACAGTATATTATCTAAATTATTACATGAATTATACAACATTAACTATTTATTAAAATAATTTATTAATTTTTAACATAAATGTAATATAATATACTTCATATATTTATAATACTATATATTCTTAAAATATATATTTTATACATACTAATTGTATACATATGTTTTATATACGTTTTAAATTATTACATTTGTGCAACAAAAATAATAATCATATTAACAATAATATTATAGTGAAACTACATACTATTTAAATATTCAGTAATATAATGTATAATAAATTAAAGAAAAATAATTAAAAATATATATTTATAATAAAAATAAAGTTTCTAAACTTAAATTATTAATATTATATTCAATATATATATATATGCAATCTCTTTTTATAACTCGTTATTAGATTATTTTATTATATTTTTATAACCGTTGATAAATTATATAGAAAATTATAAATATTATTATTATTATTGTAGTTAGTGTTGTTTATTAAATTATATTTTGATTGTGTTAAGTGTAATATATTTTTGTCATTTTAAATAAATTGTGGTCATTTTAATTGTATAATGTTTTAAAACATTTTAATATCTAAACTTATTAAATATCAATAAGTATATATATATTTATATTTGTAAAATATTGTGTCATTATTAGAAAATTGTATTATATGACTATTTAGCTACTTATATTTAGATAACTATCAAATAGTACATTGGTAATATAACTAAAAAATCAATATAATTAGCCAGGTATTGTATATAAATTGTTAGCAAACTAATAGAAAATAAAACATGGCTTAATTTACTCTAATTTAAATCACACTTTTTTTAAGTGATTGAATTTCTTCATAAATATATATATTGTGTTCATCACATCAATTGTCTAATACAATTAGTCAGTGAACAGTACAGAACAGACAATAAAGCACAGCACCAGTAGTTTAGGCACAGATAGATCCGTGACGTGACACTGGAAGAGCCGAAACTGTTTGAATAAATAAAAAAAAATTAAAATTCAATTCAATATATGTTACACTTATAGACTTATAATACAAGGAAACAGTTTTATCCATTCAATACTTATCTCAGTCTAATCTCTCTCTCTCTCTCTCTCTCTCTCTCTCTCTCTCTTCTTTCTTTCTCTCTCTCTCTCTCTCTCTCTCTCTCTCTCTCTCTCTCTCTCTCTCTCTCTCTCTCTCTCTCTCTCTCTCTCTCTCTCTCTCTCTCTCTCTTTTCTTTCTCTCTCTCTCTCTCTCTCTCTCTCTCTCTCTCTCTCTCTCTCTCTCTAAATCATTCACTTATTTTATTAAGAATTTAATCAATACAAAAAGTAACAAAATCAATAAATTGTTATCTAAACAGTTGTGTGGCAACTACACACACACACACACACACACACACACATACATACACACATACATTAGAAACAATAGCATTTGACACAATTGGTTGCTAATCAATAGGTTTTATTAGTTGCTTACAGAGTCCTAATCCCTGGCAAAAGAGCAGCAAATCATAGGCAAAAGCCTCGGGTGTGTCCTGTAGGACATCACCGCAGTCGTCCAATTTGACCCGTGTAGTCAACTTTGGGTCCATAGCCGCCTGCATTTGATCGACTTGATGGGAGTGAGAGTTACGGGAACCGGAGCACAACATTGTGTCCACTTTCATCTTGTCCTTCAATTGCGGTGTCAAATCGGTACGACTTTTTAACGTTAAAAATAAATAATAAATTAGTTTTARAAAAACAATAACAATAATAATTTAAAAACAAAACATTACATTATTTGCATATTTTCATTAGTATTATTAATATATCTATAAATTTATGTAAAATTATTGTACATAAAAATYTGAACTTAAAAAATTATAGTATTGTACAATATAATATCGTATTACTGAAATTAAATTAAATAAATTTTATAGCAGCAAATATATATATATTATTTATTACAAAATTAAAATGTAAAATGATATATACATATATGATGTATGTATGATATATACATAATACGGTATATATATATATATATATATTTTAAAAATCATAAAATATGCAAAGAATGTAAATGATTTTTTATTTGTATAATAAACTATTAAATATAATATTTTAAATTCTAATGTATTATCAATATTATTATTAAAATATATTATGTAAATATTTATTCAACAAATATTATAATAATAGTAATAAAAATAATAATAATTAAATAAAAAGCTATTCTTACGCCAGAAACGACTCGACATAAAGTCTTAGATTCTTGGGATTCATACGACTGTAAAGCTTCTGTATGTAGTCTTTAATAACGTGGTCTCTGTTTTGTATGTTTTCGTGCTATAGCCGGTGCCAAACCATTATCCAAACAAATAGGAAAATATTGTTTATTTTCAAAATTAATAAATTTATTTTTGTTTTCTTATTTATACAAATAAAAAATAGAATATTCTTTAATAATTCATATTTTTTTAATAATCAAAGAGGATTCTAATAGCAATTGTAGGATATCTATGAACTATATAAATATAATCTATAATCTACATGAGCTATATTTAGCTATATTTATCGACTCGGGAGGAGGAGAAGGAACTGGTGGTATTGGGAATATAGATAATAAAGGGTGATATACAGCCATTCAATCAAAAATGCAAACCTCCAATGCCTGAGAGTTTCAATTGCAGTGATTGTAATACAAACATATGATATATATATATATGTAGTATATAAAAAAAGAGAAAAAAATAGGACAGCGATTTATTGAACAATAGTTTTTTTGCGTTATTCAATATTATTGAAAATCAATATTAATATGATTATTTTCAATGATTAATATCATAACATTATTATTATTTATATATTATTATCATTTGGTGTTGTCGTTGTTGTTGTTGTAAATGTTGTTGTTGTTGTGTAATATTTTTAATTTAAAAAATAATTATTATATTTATATTAATAAATTGTATATATATATATATATATAGAATTTTATATCAGTAGAAAAGTAGATAATTTTTAATTTTACAATTATAAATATTATTGTTATTATTATTATTAGTTTTCACAAATTTAAATTCAATGCAGTAATTAGTTTATACAAACAGCACACATATAAATTATAGACACAACAATACAACAATTTACATGCAATTATTAGTGTTAATTTTTGTATAGTTTGTTTATTTCATATTTGTGAAAAGAAATTTTTAAAAAAATATTAATTTAGTATATTAAATTATTTTTTTTATAAATATAATAAATCTAAATAATTTACTAATAAAACACTAAATGTAGTTTTAATAATTATAATTATAATAAATGAACTACGCCTAATTAATAACCTAATTAACTAAATTGATATATTATTCCTAAAAAAGTTTTATTCATTATTATAATTAGTTTTAAAAAATAAAAGAGATATATATATATACCGCTCCAAACTTGTGGAAAACCAGATACTGTTCCGCTGCCGAGTTCATGCCCAGTGTGTTCAAGCGCCAGGTCATCATCTAATCAAAAAAATAGTCATCAAAAATACAATAATAATTTTTTATTAGCTAATAAATATATAGTTATTAAAATTTTTTAAAAACTCTTAACTAACAATTAATAAGATATATTCTGGTATTTAAAAAAATAACTATTATATAGTATTTGTATCTAAAACAATATATACAGTATATAATATTATATTTGCAATACTTGTGTATTTCAATAATAAAATTGCAGTCATATTAAATAAGTATAAGAAACTGATGGATAATAATTTATATACTGTAATACAATGTATATACTGTACAAAATAAATAAGACAAATAACTATTGCTTTTCAATGATATGTATGATATATGCAGTACTGTATATAAACAATGTAGTGATTTTATCAATTGATTGATTGCATTAGTTATATAGACATTCACATACCTTATCGTGAAAGTATTGCATAACACCCTCGACATTTGGTGTCGGGTGAATCAATATGTTGCCCAATACTCGATCGGGATGTGCTATCTAATTAAATTAATTAGCATAATATATATATTAATTATTATAATATAGTAATATCATTTTGATAGATTGATTAATTAAATAAATTATAAGAAACATAGTTTTCAAATTTTAATACATAGCTTATTAGTCTTTTTTATTTGTCAATTTTTTAATTTTGAGATAAAAACTATATTTTATTCCAGTTTATTTAATTAATTAAATGCTATGATTATTTTTTTTATAAATACAAACAAAAATAAACAAAAAAGGGCGTTTTTCAAACAATAAATAATTTATATAGGTATTAAGTTAATCAGGTATCTAAATATAGTTTTTTTGTTGTTGAAAATATTAAATATTATTGTGAGTGTTTTTACCGCAAAACGGGCTATTATGTTGGCACCGGCGCCCTCACCCAACGTCACGCAATATTTAATACTAAATAAATGAAAATATTATTAATATAATGTTATGTTTACTATAATATGTTATTATTAAACATTTATTTATGGTATTGCTATTTATTTTGTAAAGTATTCTATATATTGAATTACGTGTCGATTCATTAGATTTTATAAAATAAATATTTTTGTTTTATTTTTGTTATTACTATCATAAATTGTTAATAAAAATTGATACAGAATAATAATACATTTAATTAAAATAACACACAAATAGCTATATATTTTTTATATGTAATCGGAATTTTTGTTATTCATTTAAGGAAAATATGTATTACATGTTTGATCTTTCATTGAAAATAATAAATGAAAATAAATAAAAATAAATAACAGAATATTCTATATATGATATAAATATAWATTAATATTTCGAGTATTATGTTTAAGTATTTTATATTCCTCACATAAAATATCAACTATACATTTATCATCTATTGTATTCAAATAAATTACAATAAAATATTGTAATACTTATTCATTATTACAATAAAAGTAAAAATAAAATACATAATAATTATCTACTGTACATATTGTTATAATTATGAATATACTGTAAATATATTTTTTCTGTACAAAAATATGTGCATAAAATTCATAATATTATATAATTTATATACTGCACTATTTAATATATTACACACAGAATATGTTAATTATAAGATTTTTAAACAAATTATCATTTTTGTATAATTATTACATAATGATAATAATACTAATGGCACTCAAAATGCAAATGCATTATAGTATTCACTATTAAATTTACATTAAAAATGCAAATAATTTACTATTACATGCAAATCATACGTTATATAGTATTCTATAAATTTTCAATAATTATTTATAATTACTATAATATTAATATTAATATTAATACACTAAAATATAAATATTAAGATTTATGAATAAATTGGACAACAAAAACAACAAACAAGTTTGTCATACTTGAAATAGTTGAGGACATTAACCAGTTCCTCGGCCAGTGTGTCCATCGACGGAAATTCCAACGACTCGGGCAGATCGGGTGCGTCAAACTCTTGGCCGGGTATCTCCACGTGCAACCAAACGGAACGGGCCTTCAATTTGGCCATACATGGGTGCTCAACAAGCTTGTGAAACTCGGTATCTGTTTTTTTAATTAATTAAGATACAAACTAATAATAATAATAATAATTTTATTTATTTTAAGTTTAAAAACATGCAATTACGTTAATTACTATATTTTCAAAATTATGCGACAAATTTTWAAAAAGCATACTATAGTCTATTGGGAATAATGAAAAACATAAAAATTGCATCGATTAAAAAAAAAACAACAAATAATAATAATAATAAATTAATGCAATATATAAGTTATTAAAGGAATACAATATATTAGTGAAAAGTTAATTTTAAAAATAAAAATTGCTTATACGGTATAACTACTGTACTATACGGTARTATATAAACTGTTGTTGTGTCAAATAAAATACTTAACACAATATATTTGATATATAACMAAAAACATACAGTACTGTGCAATATTGTTTTTGTTTTTATATAAATTTTTTATTAAATATAACATATGACAATATAATTTAATTTTATACAATAATAAAAAACAGTATAAAGTAGCTTACGATTAGTTCCCAGATCGTGGACAGTCATAAAAACGGGAGTGGTTAATGTAATATTATTAATGTTGCCCTGGACATATACGCTGATTGGACCACATTTGTTTGTCTTAATATCGTTTTTCTAGTTATTGATAAAAAAATAAAAGTATTTTTTTAAATGTAATTTTTTGTATTACATAACATTATATAATTTTAAAAAAATCTATATTTAATAAATCTATATAATGCATATATGATTGTAGTTTATTTATAATTATTTTTTTCACAAAATATCAAATAAATTTATTTTTTAATTAATAATTTATTTAATTGTTTTAAATGTTTTAAATGTTTACTATAAATTAATTATATTTTTATTTTTTCTTAAATTATATATTATTATATTTATACTAAAAATTCTAATTAGTTTTTGTTTTATTTTTATTCTACAAAATTATTATTAATTACAGTATAAGGCAGTAATAGTTTTATATTTCAATGGCATAAAAAATTTTATTTTAACGATATCTCTGTGTTTTAAATAAAAACTTATTAATAATAAAAATGCATATTTTTTATTATTATAAATCATATAAATATTATTCAATAAAATGTGTTATTAACAAATTGTTTAAAACATTTCCATAGTATAGTACTGTACATTAAAATAATTTTTTACTGACATTTAAAATGTGTTTAATGTCTACTATAAAAATTACATTATCTATATTATAAATCGTAAAATATTTCTTTTAGTATTGATTTTTGAATTGTATAATATATTGCAAAAGTAAAAAGTCTAATATTTCATTTTCAAAGTTATAATACTATATTATACATTACATTATTTATAATAAAATAATATATTATATATAAATATACATATATATTTATATCTTATATAAATATATAATAATAACATAAAAGTTTTATTCTGCATTAATATACTGATGATTTTTGGTTTTAATGTAGTTTTTTCAAACTATAAWATATTATTTTATGCTAAAATTTTTTTTTATAATATTTATTATTATTTTCAAATCTATTTAATTACATGTCATAAGAATAAATGGAAATTTAATCTTAGAAACAAAACATATACTAAAAAAAGATTATAATAAATGTTTTCTACAAATAATTTTGTTTCAAAAATTAAAATTAAAAAAATAAATATTACATTTCTTTGAAATAAAAATACACATAATTTAAATGTCAAACAAAAGTCAGATGTAAACAGTTTGTTAGATAATTGTTATTTGTATCAAACATTAGTATATAGTGTCTATTTAGCCATAAATGTAAATAACAATTAAAACAATTGAAGTGACTCTCTCTCTCTCTCTCTCTCTCTCTCTCTCTCTCTCTCTCTCTCTCTCTCTCTCTCTCTCTCTCTCTCTCTCATTTCACATACTTTCTATATATGTGTTTAATAATGAAAAATAATTTAATCGCTAAATTACTTTTTATTTAGCAAACATTATGTTATTAATATAACTGAAAATTCTCAGTATTTAGTTTTAGATTACAAAATAAGTTATTATCAATATATAAAAAAAACTAAAATAAAAATTTAATTACAGTAAAATTACACAAATCATGAAACAACACACACAATAATGTCAAACTAAAAATGCTAACTCATTGATTGCAATTATGCATGGGATGATATTTTTATTTTATATAATTTTATTATTATTATTTGATTAAATTGTTGCTATAATCAACTTTTGTAGCTTAACTTTTTTTACTCTCTTTTTCACTCACTCACTCACTCACTYACTCACTCACTCACTCACTTACTCACTCACTAACTCACTCACTCACTCACTCACTCACTCACTCACTCACTCACTCACTCACTCACTCACTCACTCACTCACTCACTCACTCACTCACTCACTCACTTACTCACTCACTCACTCACTYACTCACTCACTAACTCATATATTTACTATTTATCTATTTATTCATTATATCAAATTTATTATTATTTTTCTTTATTCACTTAATTTAGAGAATGAATAAATATATTATAATAAATCTATAGATGAGGTCTGTAATCAACTAATGTATATTAAAAACAAATGCCATAAATAATAAAATTAAGTTTTTTTATACACRTATATTATTATACAGTATTTATATTGAATATTCTGTATTAATGAATCTCAAGCAAGAAATTCAGTGAACACATAGTAAAACACAATTTTTGTGTATTAATGAAAATTAACATAAAATTAATAGACGATGACATGAAAAATTGATTAGTTTTTTATTATTATTTATTAATAGATTCAATGTTATTGAAGGGCATCTCCAACATCAACAACAATAATAATTATTGAAAACTTTATTATTATACAGTAAAACAAAAAAAACTAGTTATCAATCAATCAAACACTTTTTATTTGTCTAAATATGTATTGAGCAAATAAAATTCATTATGAATATTAATTAATAATCAGTAATAAAATATTAAGGGTACAATAATAAAAATAAAAATAATAATAAATAATAATTTAAAAAACAAGTGTGAAGTGACATAAATAAAATAACAAATTTGTAGACAACAAAAACAACAACAAAAATAAATGTAAAATATTGTAATATAATGTAAAGATAAACAAAAATATTTAAAGTAATCCCCTACAAGTAAATATCAATTTTATTTTTTATTTGTTTTTTTCAAAAAATGTATTACTAATATAAATGTCTTTATCATCGATATCAATAAAAAAGATACATATAAGCAAAAAAAGAGTAAATATGATATTATATATATATCATTATATAGAGTATAAAATATAAAATTATATATATATATATTATTCATAAAATGTATATTAAATAAAAAAAAGTGCATTATTTTCAGTTAACACTATTTGACATTTATTTACAGTAAAGCCATTGACTGAATGAAAGAATAAGAGATATTTTTTTATCACTAATTTTCTTAAATATGTTGACATTTTATGTAGAAAATCAATGAACCCGTTGTTTAACGAAACGTTTTACTATCAGACAGTTATACAATATAACTGATGGTGTAGTTCACGACATTGAAAATACGGGTATTTRAATAATAATAGTAATAATAATAATAAAATAAAGATATATAAAAAAGACTAATAATAGTATAGCAAAAGTATTATCTATTGTATAAAAATAATATAATGTGCTTATAATAATAATAATAATAATAATAATGATGACGATAATTGTTTGTTAACACTATTATATTGTAAATTTGTCAAAATAAAAGGTTAAAAAATGGGTAAATTATTAGATGACATTAAGGTATAATAATTAATATTATATCAATAAAATTAACAGTAGAAATTATACCAATAAAAATATATATATAATAATGATAATACTGGATAATAATATATATTGCTAGTATATTAAATATAAATAAACAATTGATTTTTTATTTCTCTCAGAATATATGGATCTACTAAATGTAAACTAAATAAACAAAGTTTTTAGTTAATAATATATATATATATATATATATATATATATATATATTGAATATATACAGTATATACATATTTGTATATAAAAGAAAATAAACGTCATTGAATGAAATAAATATTCTGTAAATATATTTATATAAAAATAACCTGAAATTTTCATAAATAAAATAAATATACAGTAATAAATTGAATATATGTTTGTTTAGAAAATATTTACACATAAAAAATATAAATAGAGATATTATTAAAAGATAAAAAAAATTTATTTATACCGTTTCCTCGACATCTTCGTAGTCGTCTTCGTGATCACCGGTCAATGGATGGGCTGACATGACTGTGCTTTAAGACTACTTTTCCTTTTTCTTTATTATATATATATATAGAAAAAAAATTATTACTGTATATAAAAATAGATAGTTATTGACAACAAAACATCAACAACAAAAATATTAATGAGACTAACTTTTATTACTTTATTTTTTCTCTCTCTTTCTCTCACAAATATATAACTATTTTTTCAGAACTGTTGTTAACACAATATACTTGTATAATATTTTATATATATATATATATAATATTATGAATTTTATAACTGTTAAGACGAGACGATTGATATATACTGTATTGTAAATGTATTGACAAAAWTATATATATATATATATTAGGTCACAGTTTTTTTTGCTGAGAAATCAATAATAGCAACAACAAAAAATAAATGTTTTATTTGGAGTCACTTATATAGCTCACAAAATATATTATATTTAAGTAAAGAAAGAGTAGCTCTAAAAAAAGAGAAAAACAATAATTGAAAGTTATTTGACGAAAAAAACAACAAAAAATATATTACTTTTAGTTTATTTTTAACAGAATATTCTGTTTCAACAAATATAATTCATTGAATATTTATTAAACCTGTAAAATCTTTTGATTATTTTAGCATAAACTTTATAATAAAAAATACAGTACAATTTACAGCAAGTGTTTTGAGGTATTTAACAATAAATAGCTGTTTAGTTGTAAACAATGTTATATATATATTGATATATAGTATATAAATTATATATACTGTATATAACTTTAGTATTATGACTGTTGACAAACTGATGCAAAACTTGAATTCAATTGCAAACTATATATAATATTATTCAATAAGTAGCACTGGTTGTGTAGTAGATGTATGTTTTAGATGGTAAACACGCAATTAATAGGGAACGGGTAGACWACGAACACCAGTCGCCGGAGCGCAATACCAGACCAAGTATTGCAAATATAACAATATTGTGTAATATGTGAGGACACAGTTATGTCATGTATGTCTACATGACTACAGACATGAGCTGTAGAGTTGGTAAACGAGAGAAAGCAGTCAAAACATGAGTCGGAATAATATATTTTTTTTGTTAAAAAAACTTTTTTTTCTGTTATATCACAAATCATAGATTGTATGACAAATAAATTTTAACATATTTTATTGGTGTGTTATATAAATACAGTATTATTACTATTATTATTATTATGTATTTTTTTAATCAAAATTTTTAAACAACATATTAGAAACAACATGAGTAAACAAAATAAAATATTTTACATATAAAATACCGTATTTTGTTCATAAATAAATGATAGTTTATTTAATAGTAATATCAAGGCTAATTTATTAGCAATTAAAAATATATATAATTATTATTTTACTGTAAAATAAAATAATACAACCACTTGTAAAAAATACAGTATATGATTAAATAACTGGTAGAAAAATAATTTGCAATAACTTTGCATATGCAGTATAATAGTTATACAATTGTGTGCTGTTATGCTAATCTAACTGAGCCGTGACATTGAAATATTATAGAGTATATATATATATATATATATATATATATATATTGAATATATATAGAAGAAAAAATAAAACCATTAAATTATATTATGATTGAGTAGTCTGTGTATGTGTAATGGATTATTATAGATGTAAGTTATATTATGAAACATGTTTACCAATTGTGGTAATTAAATATTTGCTAAAAATAATATTTATTGAAATATAAGTATATTATTCTAAAAGAATCTAAATAAATAAATATATAATAATAATAATAATAATTCATATTTTAGTACATGTTTTTCCATAAATAACTATTTTTTTCAAATTAATTACAATATAAAACTTTTACATGAAAAAAATTACATTTACAGATAAGAATATTAATAATAGCAACATAAAATATAGCATTTAATTAAAAAATAATTAATAAAAAATATAATTATAATAATTAATAATTATAAAAACTAATAATAACAAATATATGAACAAATATATATATATAATTTACTAAAAAATAACTATTTTAACAAATGGATGCTTCTAGATTAACAACTACGGCACATACACTTATAGGACAGATATCCCATATTCCAAGAGGCAAACCATGGATTAAACGCATAATATGATCCAAAATAAAAGTTCAATTGATTGATGAGTTGGTCCATAAACTTTTGATAGGGAACTGAATTGATAACATGATTGTCAATTGTACGACATATGAGATGCCGTTCCGCCAAACAATCGGCGCCTTTTGAATACTGTGTCCGCATGTCGTTCAACATTATCTGTATGAAGTTAAACACCGACACCAATGATGAGTAGACGGCTCTCATGTCGACACCGACTAAGGGAATGTTTATTGACTGTCGGGCCAGTATGTTCATCGGGTTCAGAAAGTATTCATTGAAAACCATTGAATAGTAGTTAATGAGATCCAGACAGGAAAAGTTGACAGTATTTTGTAGGGATAGCGCTGTCTGTATGCTTTGAATTGGACTCACAGATGACAGATCGGTCACTCGAGACCAGAGATCGGCGGTTACAGCACTGGAGTTGCCGATCAATAGACATATAATGATTAATATGACCGAAACTAATGGGCAAAATTTTATCGTCCAAATAAATGCCATTATATTATTTAGTTGATTATTTGATATTTCAATAGATAGCTAACTTTTTACGATATACAGTATACTTGTTAATAAATGTCGTATGATTTCAGAAAAATATATAATGGATTTTTAGTCTCATATATTAATAGTATAGATATATAGTATTTAATATTTTATTTAGTACAAAATTTGACATTTAAGTGACCTATCAATTAAATTTTACTGTATATTTTAAATTTAAAAGCATTAGTAATGGTTATTAGCAAACAAAAAATAAAAAGATGATATTTATTGAATTTAACAAAACTGTACTTTTCCAATAAATTGTACATAAAAATAGTGGATTTTTTATGCTATTTAAATTGAATCTTTAAATAGTTTGAAAATTTTATTAAATAAAAGTTCATATTTTATATTAGACATTTGAGATTTGAAAATAATTTTCGATAGTTTTTTTTGAGATTTAATCATTTTGATAACGATTTATTAATATAATGATCATATAAACACTGTATACTATACATATAGTACTGTATATAAAATTTATAATAATATTTTATACACTATGTTAAATAATGTTATTGATCGATTAGAAAATGAACTAGTTTATCAAAAATTAATTGAAGCATACTATTAAATATTGCCCAAATATTATCTAAGCCTAATATATTATTTAAGTAAAAGTATAAATAATATATATTTGATATAATCTAGTGTTAAATTAATTAACTAGTGCTGTAATCTTTAATATCTATTGAATTAATTAATTAATTTCTTATTATGTCTGCTAATAATCCCATTTTTGTATTTATTAGTTTGTATTATGTGTTAACCAATTGTTTCTCAATCTTTTACTGATGAAACAATGTCATCGATTTCATCACTGCAAACAATATTCAGTTATATTGCTGACAGTGATTTATTTTAAATATTTAAAATTTATATATTTTTTAAAAGACTTATCTAAGGTTTTAAATATCACATAAATATGAGAAAAAATAATAAAAATTAGTTTTGACTATTGATAAATTTTATACTAAGTAAATAGAGTGGGTTTTAAAGTTGATTTTCAATGCACTATTTTATTTTTTTTATTAATTTTTAAAATATATTTTTTAGAAATTTGAGAAACTATATAATACAATATAATATAAGCTAATATAATAGGGTTTCAATATTTAACAAAATATATATATAATTTTCTATTATATTAATATATAATTTTTCAAATATCTAGACCCAATTGAATCGAATTTTATTCATATAATAGTTAAAATGTTATATTTAATTACATAACTTATCAAGTTATATGACACTAGCATATGTAATTTAAAATTTAACAAAATATTCTCTTTAATGTAATTATTTATTTTTAATAATTTAATTTTAAACTAAAATTGTGTTTTTAACTTTTTAAGTTTATTAATTTATGCAAGAATTAAATTTATTATTTGTTTTTAACATTAAAATAAATTCATTATATACAGTAAAAATTATATCTTATATTTTAAACACAGAGTAAACTTATTACACAACTATTAGAGAAAAAATATTTTATTGATAGATATATTAAATATTAAATTTATATCTCAGATTAAATCAATAATGTTATATCTATATAATCAGGAAACTGATATTTATTGATATATATTTTATATATACAGTATATGTCTATATTTTTATAGCAACAAATATAAGATTAATAAAAAAAATAAAATAATTCAGTTATAAATACAAATAATATAATCAATCTACCGGTATATACAGTAAATAAATGTTAAACTAAAACTAAATGTACTATAAATTGTAGGCTACAATATAAGTTATATTATATAACAAATACTATATATTTGTCAATAAATCAATAACTAACTTGTTTATTTTTCAAAAATTATATGATATAATAGTATTTTATTAAAAAAATATATTTAATTTATTAGATTACGGTAAGTTTTTAAATTTTATTTTTATTGCAATATACTATTATAGCATTATATTTAATTATAATGATATTATACAATTAATATATATTGAATTTAATTTATATATAATGATATTATCATTAAAAATTATTATAAATCAATTAGTATACGGTAATTAAAATTCAATTTATATTATATAATTTATATTTATACTAAACCATTTATAAATTATAATCTAATTACCAATAATGATTATTTTTATGTCAAATTTAATGAACTATGAACTTATAATTGTGTATAAAAACCATTAGTAATAAATTATAAATATTAACTTTATTTTTTAATTATCTGTAGTTGAATTTTATTTTTAAAAATGATATTACAGTACCAGGTAATTAATAAGTAATACATATATATTTGAAATACTAAAAATAATTTTATATAAAATTACTACTAAGATTTAAAATAATGTTTATTTATTTGTTTTATTATATAAATTTAAAAGTATACAATTTCAATATAAATATGTCATTTTCAAATGATTTCTATAATGTAGTAGATGTTGTTGTAGTAGTAGTTTTACATTATGACATGACAGTAATACACAAATAAAAAATTTGACATTTTTGTCGATAACATAAATATATCTTATATGTATTCAATATATATATATATAATTTATTATCAAATAATAAAATTAATAACTAATGAGTTTTTTTCTTGTATTCAATGAAAAAAATTTCAATGATCTTTAATGTGTTGTGGTATTCATTATGTATACAATTTATATGGTATGCTCTATGAGATGGCAATTATTACTTTTTTTATCATAAAAATTACAACAATTTTGACAACAATTAAGGCCTTCACCAGAATTAATGAGAAAATAATTTTTTCTTTTTATAGGAAATATAAATTTGATTATAATTTTTTAGTAACAATTATTTATAAAAAAAAGTTTTTTGTTTGTGACAATTAATTTATATAAAAATTAGACTAAATTACAATTCAATAGTTATTAATTATATTATATCCTTAGTATACATATTGTGCTCATAATATAATGTAATACTGTATTTTACAATTGTTTGATTAATACTTTTACTTTTATACTAATACTCATATATATATATATATAAAATAAAACAAACTTTTTTAAAGTTATTACTGTATTTGCATCCATAAAAAAACAATAGAGCAGTGATAGCTATTTGGAGAGCTAACTGTCCTCTATTACATGAGAAAATTATTTCATTACAACAATACTTGTGAGTTGCTATATAAATAAAATAATTTCTACATATACTGTATATATATATATATAATAATTGTTAATGTTTTGTAACAATAATTTGTTTCGTTTAGTTAAATGTTTTGATAATATTATTATAGAAAATATCACTTATGAGACCAAACAGTGATTTACAAATTTCATTAAAATATAATTATATAATTCAATTAGTTTAAAATACATATTAAGTTATAGGTAGTTATTAAAATCCATTATATTTTCTTTTATAAATTATATAAATAAAATTTAAATTATATTATGTTTTTAAGTAATCAAATGTTTTTTTTGTACCAATGATTACCAGTCAGTTGGTTACCCATTAGTTAAATGTGAAAAATCATTAACTACTTGTGCTGTCAATGAGTATTGTAATTGATTTAGTCATACATTTAAAATAATTCTTAACTCATAATAATAGTAATAATAATGTTGATGATAAAAATAATTAAATATAAATGTGATGCAATTATATAATAATAATACTAAATTAAATTAGGAAATAATGAGATGATATAATAGACAAATCAATAGATAGTTGATTAACGATAGATATAAAAAATTGAATAATTGATGAAATAAATGGTTAGTTGTCTTACATTAAAATTATTTTTTAAAAAAATCATTCACTCAATCATTTAAATGCAAACACGAAATTCACACATAATTGTGTCCTAACTATATATAAATATATTGGTCACTATGAGTGTGTGTATATATATGGCCACTGGCCAACACTCAACACACATCATTGAACTACATAATTGAACAGTAAGACAGCCATCCTTTGCTTTGTTGGCTGTCCCGCGAGCTTCGGGACGAGTTGGCGTCAAATGATACGTTACGAGAGGCCGTAGAATTACGGTGTTTGATGTCCGAACGGGGCGATTGGGCCAACCGAAGCGATCGCCGCGTACCCGGCGTTCTGGCTGTCTCTTTGGGCGTCTGTCTACTCTTTTTGGTTGCACTCGTGTCGTTGGACAGCGATTTCCGTTTGGCCGACTTATTGGGCGGCGATAACTTAGTTTTCGAGGCCGACTTTGGTGTCTTCAACGCAGATTTCGGTGTTTTTTGAGCCGATTTCGGCGTTTTTGGGGTCTGTTTTTTGGCCGACAACTGTTTCTTGTTAATTGTACTGGACTTTGACGGCTTGATGCGAGGCGTTACCGTACGCGAGGCGGGCTTACGGGTGGGCGTCCGGCTTCTCGAACGGGATCGCGATCTTCCGCGACTTAAATCTAATAACAGATAAAAAATATGCATAAGTTTACCGATAAATTGGCGGTCAAATAACGCGCGACCGCTTACTTTCGCCCTTTTTATCGGTAATTTTAAACTCCTTTAAGTCGGTGTCCAATAGTGATTCCAACTCACGCTTTGATGCCATTATCGGTGATAATAATATGGGTTCGGGTGAGGGCTGTGGCCAATATATACACACACAGAGGCAAACAATAAGTATAAATAGTTGACCGCTTTTTTTTCTCTCTTTCTTTGTGACCGATACACTGGTCACAGACACACACCGTTTAATTTTTTGCGGGACAGTTACCACAAAAAAATAAAACTTTGAAAAAAACTTTTAACGGGAGACGATAAATCACTGGTCACACAAAAAAAACACTATAAGCCCGTAGTAAGTGTTACCGATAGTAGTGGTCAATCAAAATAGTGATTAACACACAAACAGTTGATTAAACAAAAAGCGGGAAAAATTACTGTATGTGTTATACTGTGTGTGCATTCAATTCAATTCAAATACATATCATATATATATACTGTATGTATATATACTGTACAGTAGTTTACTATGTATTTTGTATTATTATTTGGGGATAAAACGGCATACAAAACAACAGTACATAAACATATTGCGGGACAAACAAAATGGTTGGCAATGTTTTCATACTATAAAAATCCCATACATTTATTACAGTGTGTGTGTGTGTGTGTGTATGTATTACGTTAAGCGCACTGTTATGTATGGCGCGCTATCTTTCCACATACACCCATGTGCTCACTATAGTGTACAATATATGTATAGTACAAATATATATTATATATTTAGCATGATTAGATTTTGTTATATATATAAATTAAATATTTGTTCATGTTAATTAATGATTTTATCTAGCTAATGAAAAAAATTGTTTGGATTAACTAGATAAATCTTATTTGATAACATAATTTGTCCATGGTAACTTGTCCTACTGTATTAAGTAGTTTGAAAATACTGGTGACGGTTGAAAATTGTATTATAAAACCATATGTGAGGGCCCTTCCCTTAAATAACGTGTCAAATAATTTGTGTGTTACCTAAACTGTATGTATTGAGAGTGTACTAGTATTATAACTATACAGTGTTGGGCATCGATACGGATAGCCCCCGGCGCCTACAGTCAGCCTCTCTCTCTCTCTCTCTCTYTCTTAAATTCTATGCCTGTGTCCAGTGATAAAAGGAAACGTATTGTATGTTATAATAGTATAATATTTTGGTAAATACTTCCAAAATACTGTAGTACTGACAGTGTGTTTGAAATTATTTTTGAATTTTTATCGACAAATCATTTGCCACTATTTTTAGAGGTATACCATGTATTTAAGGGGCCCTACAGTACAGTATAATGACATAATACACATAACACTATACAATATTACAGTATTAATAATATCATTGATTATTATCATTGAATATTATGTGGAGAAACTCCCTCTCTGTATATAAATTTGAATCGATTCCAACTTTTGAAAAAAAAAATTATTTCTAATTTAACTTTTAGTATAACTATTAATAAAAAAATATTTGCGAACCGAAAAAAATGTTTGATAATTGTATTTATTTTTAAATTTTAAATAATATGCTAATTATTATGATTTGAAATTTTTTTTTTTTTTAATAAGATTCAATGGATAACTAAAAATAATTTTTGTTTTATTTGAATTATACAAAATCATTTATAAATGTAAAATACAGTAAATTTTTTCATAATTTTTTATTAAAAACATCAAAATTTTAATTAACGTATTTTAAGCTAATTATGAAAAAATATCTATTAAAAATTAAAAATAATTTATAACTGTATATATATTGAATAAATAATAGAAATAAATTTATTAAAAAAACTTAATTTTTCTTAATTAAATTTAAAATTTTATTTTATTATTAACTTTGTAGTTAATGAAACAGGTATAATAAAAATACTAAATTTTCACAACAAAAAATAGTTTTAATTGATTTATTATTTAATTGTAATAAAAATGTAAAAATAATTTTATTAAAAAATACATAATTTATTTATTTTAAAAAATCTATTTTAACTCTTAATTAATTTATACAAATTCAATATAAATATCTAGATTATTACATTTATTTTTTGTTGATTCATAAACTTAGCATGCTAAAATTTTTWAAAAATTCCATCACAAAAATAAATTTTTAATTATAATAAACCGAACATTTGGACTCTTATACAGTTCATCTATTTATATATAATTAAACGTAAGTATTTGTTGTCATAAAACGTACCAAATATGTTTGTATCCAATCACATTGCATGGATCACACTTTGAATGGTGTTTTGTGTGGGAAATAAACGTTTGAAACAAAATATTGTAATAATAATAATAATAACAATAAAACTGTAAATCTATTGATGTTTTTTGATAGCAAATGATGTAATCATTTGATTACCAATTAATAACTGATACAAACATAYAATAAAACAATAATCACACGATTAAACTGTGGACACAAATCTAAGAGACGAATGGATCCGCCAATTATGGGTCGACTGATTATTACTGATGATGACGACAACGACAACCGTGAAAACAGTGACCGCCGACAGTTGAGACGGTCGTCCCGTAAAACTGAAGCTCAACAACAACAACAACAATACCGCCGACACACTATCGGTGGCCACTCATTAACATCGGTGAAACCCAACAGTGATCAGTCGCCGACTTCATCGCAAACAACACAACGACGAGCATCTGCTGTACCGAAACTTGCCAAACGACCTGCTTTTCCAATAACCACTAATCGGGTGACCATTGGTAGCACTCTTGAGGCCGATATTCGACCATTTGGTCGACGACTGGCTAAATCAGACGATCAGTTTTTCGTTGAGATCAGTGTTTTGAACGATAAAAACATTGGCAACACTACTGTTGGTGATCACCGAAACCTAAACCAGTTTTTTGTGCGATCACTAAACGGTTAATAAAACACTAATTGGTCACCAATTATGACATCTTTTTAATTATGTGTCTTTTATTTATTATCATCTGTTTAGGCAAACCGTTACAATTGAATGGCCAACTGATGAACGGTACGAGAAAGTTGGAGCTCAAGAACAACGATCGGCTAACACTCGGCGCCAAAACTGTATTATTTCGGAAATGCAAACCATCTGAACCAGAGGTTATAACTACTGAACAACTATCTAATGAAGTGACGGTTGACGTTGTTGTCGATGAAAATCAAACGATACAAACAATTACTAAGAAGACTGACGAGGAGTTGTATAACATCCTAATTGTCGACAAACTTAATGAATCAGATGTTAAAAACACTGAACAACAATCTGATGAATTKGTAGTTGATGTTATTGTCGATGTCGATGAAGACCAATCAATACAAACAAATAGTAAAAACATTGTCGAGGAGTTGTCGACCAATGATAATAACATCCTAATTGTCGACAAACTTAATGAATCAGATGTTAAAACTTGTGAACAACAATCTATTACTGTGGAGGTTGACGTTGTTGTCGATGAAAATCAAACGATACAAACAATTACTAAGAAGACTGACGGGGAATTGTCGACCAACGATAATAACAATCAAAATGTCGACAAACTTAATGATTCAGCGGTTAAAATCACTGAACAACAATCTAATCCATTGGCGGTTGTTGTCAATGTCGACGAAGATCAACCAATACAAACAAATAGTAAAAACATTGTCGAGGAGTTGTCGACCAAAGATCATAACAATCAAAATGTCGACAAACTTAATGATTCAGCGGTTAAAATCACTGAACAACAATCTGATGTAGWAKTGGTAGTTGACGTTGTTGTCGATGTCGATGAAGACCAATCAATACAAACAATTAGTAAAAATACTGACAAGGAGTTGTCGATCAATGATAATAACATACAAAATGTCGACAAACTTAATGAATCAAATGTTAAAAACACTGAACAACAATCTGATGAATTGGTAGTTGACGTTATTGTCGCTGTCGATGAAGACCAATCAATACAAACAAATAGTAAAAACATTGTCGAGGAGTTGTCGACCAAAGATCATAACAATCAAAATGTCGACAAACTTAATGAATCAGCTGTTGAAAACACTGAACAACAATCTAATGCAGTGGTAGTTGACGTTGTTGTCGATGTCGATGAAAACCAATCAATACAAACAATTACCGGTAATAAAAATACTGACGAGGAGTTGTCGATCAATGATAATAACAATCAAAATGTCGACAAACTTAATGATTCAGCGGTTAAAATCACTGAACAACAATCTAATCCATTGGCGGTTGTTGTCAATGTCGACGAAGATCAACCAATACAAACAAATAGTAAAAACATTGTCGAGGAGTTGTCGACCAAAGATCATAACAATCAAAATGTCGACAAACTTAATGAATCAGCTGTTGAAAACACTGAACAACAATCTAATGCAGTGGTAGTTGACGTTGTTGTCGATGTCGATGAAAACCAATCAATACAAACAATTACCGGTAGTAAAAATACTGACGAGGAGTTGTCGATCAATGATAATAACATCCCAAATGTCGACAAACCTAATGAATCAGCGATGAAAACTAGTGAACAGCCGTCGATGTCTGCCACGGCTGTTGTCAATGAGAATAAGCTTATTGTCGAAGAGGAGATATTACAAGAGAATCGAGATGTATGTCTTGTTTTCCATAATATGAGTTATAAATTATAACTAAAAAATTAATTATATWTTTTTTTTAATTTGTTTGATTCAATACTAGGACTCTGAACATGAAGATAACACCCGACCGCGCACTCGTCGGGCCGCACGTCAACAAAAAGTAGAGACTCAAAGTAAGACCCGACGAACACTTAGAGGTCAAGCAGGTGGTGTCGCGCGCCGTAAGGAAAAACATGATGAAACAGCTGCTGTTAGTGCCGTTGATTGCGGGCCTCGTGAAGTGTTACAGCGAGCAAAGGTTGGACGGCGTAGCGCCGTCGTGGCTACCGATGATCAAAATGCAAACAAACAGTCATCGCCGCCGCCGCCAGAAAAGTCCAGTGCAACAACACATAAGCGTGCACGCACTACAAGACAAGCATCGCAACCTACGATCCCGTCAGGTCCCAGTGCAGGTGTACGTACCCGTGCACAGGCACGTGCAAGAACTGTTGAAAAAGAAACACTATCACCACATACGGCACCATCCAAACGAAAGAAGAGAAAATAATTTTATTTGTCATTATTTATTAATACCTATTTGATTGCCAAATGGTTACCTATTACCTCATACTACTACCTGTCTTATCCATACTATCTGTCATTAAACAGTATTGCCTAATGTTGTCACTCATCTCTTCATTGAATCATATTTTTATGCCATTATCGTTGACATTATATTTAATATCACTCTATGTTAGCCACCACTGGAGTCTCTTATTTATTTGTTTATTATTATTGCCACCAATTGATTGTCTTTACACAGTAGTCTCATTTTGTGTGTATATATATACTGTATAACAATAATTTATTTTATATTTGTAATAATTTAATCAAAATTTTTTTCTATTATTTTTTTCTATGATTTTTTTGTATCATATTTATGTTTTTATTTTGTTTGTAATACTCATATTATTTTTACTTCTGTTTAATTTTGTTTTGTTAAACTATTTTTTTATTGAAATTGAAATTTATTACCCGTACGGTAATGTGTCTCCCATTTAGTTAGATGTGTTTAAATATTATTTTTAAAAAATATTTTAATATTCATCAATCTTACAGCAATTATTCCTAATATAGTATATACTATGAATATATTACATATAAATATAAATACATACATATAGCTTATATATATATTATAATCAATTATCATAATATTAATATATATAATAATAAAAATATATAAAATACTACTACTGTATATATAATAATATATAGTATCATATATTGCGTATAAAATTTAATTAACATATAATAGTAATGATAAAAATATCTTCAAATTGAATGTTTAATATTATTAAATGTTTGATTAATCGATTGCCCTTTTAGTTTGAAAGGCTTTTATTCATACAAATTACTGTATTATTATTGTATATATGAATTGAAAGCGACAAATATAATAAAACAAATGACTGGACCTTCAAATAATAGGATGTCATATAAATAATCTCTCTCTCTCTCTCTCTAGTTTTTTATGTACAGTCACTGTAAATATATGTCTGTTTGTGTGTGTGATGTAAAGCCATTAGCTAAGAAAATATGAATTCTTCAAATATATTGACAAAAAACTAGTGATTTTTTTGTCGCTAATATTATATATTATCTCTTTCTCTCTATGTATTAATGATTATAATGTTTGCCAAACAGTGATTGAAAGAGTAAATGAAAAAAGAAAAGAAAAAAGAGAGTGAATTACGCCAAAAACATACACGCAATCAAAAACAGAGAGAGAGAGAAAGAAAGAGAGAGAGAGAGAGAGAGAGAGAGAGAGAGAGAGAGAGAGAGAGAGAGGAAAGTTAGTAATAAAAAGTCTAACTGTGCATTTTTATGACACCCAGACACACTACTATTAAGATTGGATTAATAGATAGATAGAGTTAAGTGAGAAAATAGATAGAAAAATAATTATAGAAAAAATTTGAAAATTAAACCTATTTTTAAGTTTGGATACTTATCAGAGATTTTCTCTACTAATGAAAAACATTAATATATATAAATTTTTTTTTATTTTCAAGAGTCATGAAAATTAGCACAAAAATAATTTACAAACTAAATAGCAAAATATGAGTTTCATATTATACTGTTTAGTAGATGTAGTGTAAAGTAATTGAAGTTATTATAAAACAGTAAAAAATCTTTGTCTATGTGTTGTGGGTATACTTTCTACGTKTGTTTGCCGTCAGAAACATGATATTCAAGATTTATTTAGTTTAGTTTTTAATGTTAGTAAATGTGTGTTAGTAGTAATGTACGGAAATGGATTTCATTGGTGGGACAGTTATGTRAAAAATGAAAAAAYAAATGTAATACTGAGTGTGTGTGTGTGTGTGTGTGTGTGTGTGTGTGTGTGTGTGTGTGTGTGTGTGTGTGTGTGTGTGTGTGTGTGTGTGTGTGTGTGTGTGTGTGTGTGTGTGTGTGTGTGTGTGTGTGTGTGTGTGTGTGTGTGAGTGAGTGACTAAGAGAGAGAGAGAGAGATTAGCGGGCGTTTTGCCTAACACGGGTAAGATAGGGATGGGTAGTAGTGGTCGGGTGCCAATGGAGTGGGTGAGCGCCACTATGTGTTTGTGTGTGTGTGTGCCAAAGCGTCTACTCACGTTTGCAATTTGCAAACACAATGCAAACTATGATCTAAAAATGTAAACTTTTACTTTTGATATTTATATTTTTAGTTTATATTATTTAACATAATAAAAATATAATAAACTCGTCACACATTTACTTAACTCTCTCTCTCTCTCTCTCTCTCTCTCTCTCTCTCTCTCTCTCTCTCTCTCTCTCTCACTCTCTCTATGTATGCCTTTATGACTATTGATTATAGTCTATGAGGCGTATATGTCATCTAAAAATACAATACTAGTGCTCTATGGTGTGTAGAGATCCATACAATAGGAATTCTGCTATTTTTAACATAAAGACAACGAAAATCATTTATAGATATATATAATATATTGCATTTATCTATTGAGTTACACACAAAGATATATTTGATGATTGGAGAGAGAGAGAGAGAGAGAGAGAGAGAGAGAGAGAGAGAGAGAGAGTAAAATAGATGGATAGACTGATTGTCAGAGTTAGACTATGAATGATTTAAAGAGAGTTTAGATAACTGTGTTCATATAGTATGGGAAACTGAATCCTGATGCCTGGCCATGGGAGAGCTGGTGACGCAAACTCAATGACATTTGCCAACGTGTATTTGTGTGTCTGCGCCGACACCATCAACAGCACCGGCAGCACTTGTATTACAGCATACAGAATATTCTCTCTCTCTCTCTCTCTCTCTCTCTCTCTCTCTCTCTCTCTCTCTCTCTCTCTCTCTTCCTCTCACGTGTTAGATGTAAGGCACGGCTGAAAAATCAGGCGAAGCACTGATGCATTTCGCTCTCACTCACTCACTCTCGCTCCCTCTCTCTTGCTCTCACAAACCTCTCTACTGAACTATAAATTCATATCAGAAATGTGTGTATATGTCTGAGCACTGGTAGATAGTAAGAGAGAAAGAGAGACACACATACCATTGAGTGTATAAAGTTAGTGAGTGTGTGTATGTGTGCCATAACCAGCACAGTCATCAGTGATAGTTGGATTGAGCTCTGAGTTGTGTGAATGAATGAGTTTGGAGAGATAGCTGGAGAGTGAACACTGAGAGCACCGTTACTTGAATATAGTGTGTGTATGTATTGTAATGATAGAGAGTGAGAATATATATATATATTTTACAGTGTTTCCCATTTTTCATCATTCAATGAATTGTGAAATTCAAAGTGTATTTTAAAATTAAATCTCTATTTTTTTGTAATATATATATATATATATATATATTAAAAAAAACTGTGTATTATATATTAAAATACTTGAAAATTGTTGAAATTCAATCTATCGGTGTTTGTGTGTGTGTGTGTGTGTACATACACAATACAAGTGCTACTAAATTGAAATTTTTTATTATCAGAAATGGTATGAAATTTGAGATATTATTAAAAAATACAATACATATATATATATATATCGTATTAAATATATACCGTATTTACACATATTATGTTTAAATGAGAAAAAAATCGTTTGTTTTTTAACTCTCATTTTGTTTTATATAATACTTAACAACATTGTATTTCATTAGTCAATGTGTTAGTGTTTTTTATGTACAATATATTGTATAAATGCATTTTGTGTGTATATATAGTATATATTCATAATGGATATATATATATATAAAATCGACTTCTCCTACATTTAATATATATATTTTCTTRTATATATATATATTCATATATCGATATATGAGTTTTCCTCTCATATTTCATATAATTATATTTTATTATATATTATATAATGCATACGGAATACTCATTTGCGATCATTACATATTTACTAATAAAAATCCATTAAATAAAATTAACTTCTCTGTGCTTTATATTATACTCACAAATACCTCCTCTAAATAAGGGTAAGAGTAAAGATGCAAAACAGGCGAAAAAAGACAACCTCGAAGACCTCAAACAGGAGGTCTCGATGGATGAACACAAGATACCGATTGACGAACTGTACCAACGGTTGACTGTGGATCCCGAGGTTGGTCTGACCGCTGAACAGGCCAAGAAGGTGCTAGAAAGGGACGGACCTAATGCGCTGACACCGCCAAAGCAGACACCCGAATGGGTCAAGTTTTGCAAACAACTATTCGGTGGTTTTGCACTATTACTATGGATTGGTGCCATATTGTGTTTCCTGGCCTATGGTATACAGGCCGGTAGTTTCGAAGAACCGGCACCGGATAATGTAGGTTTCACCACATAAAACAATATATATATATAATCTGGTATTATTTTCTCATTTGGGATGTGTTTTATTGTGTCAAACAGTTATATTTAGGTATAGTGTTAGCCGCTGTGGTCATCATTACCGGCTGCTTCTCCTACTATCAAGAGGCCAAGTCATCAGCCATTATGGAGTCATTCAAGAATATGGTTCCCCAATACGCCACAATCGTCAGAGATGGTCAAAAGCACACCATTACGGCTGAAGAAGTAGTGGTCGGAGATATTGTTGAAGTCAAGGGCGGCGACAGAATTCCGGCCGATATTCGTATTATTAAATGTAAGAAACAATTGTTTTTATTTTTTTAAATCAATGTTAAATATATTATATAAAATTTAATGTCTGTTTCTACTTAACCATTAGCTCACGGATGCAAAGTTGACAACTCATCGTTGACCGGCGAGTCCGAACCTCAAACACGGTCATTCGATATGTCCAGTGATAACCCGCTCGAGACCCGCAATTTGGCATTTTTCTCGACCAATTGTGTGGAGGGCGCCGCCACCGGCATCGTCATTAACACAGGCGATCGTACAATAATGGGTCGAATCGCCAATTTGGCGTCGGGTCTGGCTATGGGTGAAACACCGATCGCCAGAGAGATCGAGCATTTCATCCATATTATCACTGGTGTCGCCGTATTTCTGGGCATTACCTTCTTTCTCATTGCATTCGTATTGGGCTACCATTGGTTAGATGCCGTCATTTTCCTCATTGGCATTATTGTGGCTAACGTTCCCGAAGGTACGATATATACAGTATATTAGCACTATTATGTTTCAATGAGTTGACGAGTCGATAATAATGACAATAATTGTATTAATAAATTAAATACAGGATTATTGGCTACAGTAACTGTATGTCTGACATTGACTGCCAAACGTATGGCCAGTAAGAACTGTTTGGTAAAGAACTTGGAGGCCGTCGAGACATTGGGCTCGACATCGACCATATGCTCAGATAAGACGGGAACATTGACACAGAATCGGATGACTGTCGCGCACATGTGGTTTGACAATCATATCATTGAGGCCGACACTACTGAAGATCAGTCGGGTGTCCAATACGACAAAAGTTCAGATGGATGGCGTGCACTGAGCCGGGCATGTATGCTATGCTCACGGGCTGAGTTCAAGGGTGGCCAGGATAACATTCCCATTTTGAAACGGTTAGTCCATTTTGTGATCATATTTTTTGACAATACAAAGAATATAATAATAATAGTAAAATGATATATCCTATTACACATGACTAATCAATCAAATAGTATATCGATATATAAGTTATAAATTTATATTTGTATATATCATATGAAACAAATAGATAGACAGATAAGATATATATATTATTATTGGATATACTTTATAGGCTTAAGTCAACTGAAAAAAATTAACAACAAAAAAATATTTGATTTATATATATTTTTTATACATATATATATATATATATTATATACTGTATACTGTATATTGTGCTGATCTATGCTATATGTATGTACTGTTTGTCTAACCTGTCTGTTTCGCGATTAATTTTATTGAATATATTTGTTTAATTCATATCATCTCTCTCTCTCTCTCTCTCTCTCTCTCTCTCTCTCTCTCCATCTGTCTATCAATCATTCAGTGAGTGCGCGGGTGACGCCTCCGAGTCGGCAATACTCAAGTGTATGGAAATAGCAATCGGAAATGTGACCGCTTATCGKAAACGTAACAACAAAGTGTGCGAAATACCCTTTAACTCGACCAACAAATATCATGTGACCATTCATGAAACGGAAGACCCGAACGACCCGAGCTATTTGGTGTGTATGAAAGGAGCGCCCGAACGCATACTGGACCGATCGGGAACCATATTCATCAACGGCGAAGAAAAAATACTCGACGAAGACATGAAGGACGCCTTCAATGCGGCTTATCTCGAGTTGGGCGGTCTCGGCGAACGGGTTATCGGAATGTGTGATCTGAAATTGCCGGCCGATAAGTATCCGCCCGGCTATCCATTTGACGCCGATGAGGCCAACTTTCCGTTGGACAATTTGCGATTCTTGGGACTCGTATCGATGATTGATCCGCCACGCGCTGCCGTACCCGACGCTGTGGCCAAGTGTCGCAGTGCCGGCATCAAAGTCATTATGGTTACCGGCGACCATCCGATTACAGCCAAAGCCATTGCCAAAGCTGTCGGCATCATATCGGAAGGTATGTGTAAACTATTAAATTGTTTTATTTTTATCATCAAATATTATTATTATTATTATTATCGTCATTATTACATTGACTGCCCGGTGCTCTGAATATTTTATGACATTCCTTACAATTAATAGACTATTTATGGTGTACTCGTATTAGTAATTATTATTATTTATTTATTTTTATTTTCACTCTAATAAATCCTAGTTTTTCATAGGAATTTGAAGTTTTGATTATTATTATTATTATAAATTTTTTCATTTATCTATTGAACTCATATATACAGTGTATATATATATAATGTATATATAAATTTATATATACTGTATAAATATATCATTTGTTTTATATCTTTTAAAATCCCGTATTTTTATTTATAGATAAAGTTATAAAAATTTCCTAATTAATTAATTAATTAATAATATTGTAAATAACAAGTTTTATTATATGTGCTATTATTATATAAGTAATCGTTTTAGTAGGTATTTTCAACTCTAGATTTTTATATTTATAGACATAAATACACATACATTTTAACTACAGTATTATTGCATGTGTTTTGTAATTTTCTACCGGTGCTATAATTACAGCGCTTTTTTGTATTATTCATTTTATTATATTTTATTATATTATATTATAGCTGTGAAATGAGATAATAAAAGCAATAGCAAACAATGAAATAAATTAAATAATTTAAAATTAATTTAAATTAATTTCTATTTTTATTATACATTATATTATATATGGCTGGTTAACGATAACGAGTGCAACCCTGAAAACAATTAGTTTTTAGGGCTTTATATATATATATATGTTGAATATATCTATATTTTTGTACGATATATTGATATAAACCATAGCCCGGTGCGGCATATTATTGGATGCAATTAAATAAATATAGATTTTCTTTGACTCTCACTGCTGACAAAATACATTAGTATTGCCATTAATAAATTGATGAAACAAATAATAATTTTTGTTCATATCACATATATATATAATACGGTATACATATATATATATATATATATATATATATATATATATATATATACAATATGTAGTTATATAAACTATAATGATGTTATGATAAAATTATTATCATTTACGAAATTGTATGTATGCTGTACTGGAGTATTATAWACATAAGCAAAAAGGGTTGGACAGTTATGTACTGTATCTATTTTATAGTGAAGGTCCCGAAAAACTAATTATGGGTTTTGGCAATCATTTAACAGTGAGTTTTCACTGTAAAAAAGCTAATTACACTCAAACTATTTAAAACATATTAAATTATTCAGTAGTAGTTGTTTAATGCAATAGCAGCAGCAATGATGATAATAATAGTTTTACAATTTTATATTTCATAGATATTATAAAAGTCGATTTAATTACATTACTGCGGTATAGCTTATAAATGTTAGAGAAATATTTGATAATTTTTAATTTATACTTTATCTTCAATTATGGCAAAACATTATTTTATAATAAATTTCTAAATAATAATTAGTATATTTATTATTAGGCCAACTATGCTGTTTTTTAGTATACACCCAATGTTTTATTTTAATAAATATAGATTGAAATTTATTCAATATATAGATTACAATTATTATTGTTAGTTAAAATTGTAGTTTATATTAAAAAAATAATTTTTTTAATTAAATTTTTTCCTCTTATAATAAGTTGAAGTTGAAGAATGGTTTGAAGCTCTGTTTTATTGCATTTTCAATTGTTGTCTATTTATATATAAATTTATATTAAATTATATATGTATTATTATACTGTATATGTGTATTAGTATAGTAATAGTAGTACTGTACTGTATATACACTGTTATACGATATATATATTTGTATTGTCTTAGATTTTTGTTGCTTTCTCTCTCTCTCTCTCTCTCTCTCTCTCTCTCTCTCTCTCTCATTGTCTCTCTTTTTCTTAAAAGTCAAGACATTCCTCAGTGAACTAATATAATGGCATTTTCAGCACCAATTGATTATTTAATTATAAAATAATTAGATTTTTGTCTTTTCATTTTCGTCTATAAAAATTAATAATATTAGTTATGGAGCAAAAAAATGGCTAAATATCAAAGTTTAAGTGACAATTGAATTATAACTAATTTTTGTTGAATGCAATGGAAAAATATATAAATTTTTCTATTTTAATACAATTCAGTATAACGTTGCAAAAAAAGCATTTGAAATAAAATAAAACAAATTACTAATTATATGTGAATTGCTGGGAATTATGTCTGACTCCCAGAGAATAATTGAATATTAATTTATAATAACAAAAAAAAAATAAAATACAAAAAAATTTATCCTATATTCAATAAAATAATTTTTATATTTTATCATCAATAATATTGATATATATTTTTACTTATACTGCATTAAATATTATATAATTTTATATATTAATATTGGCACTGGTAGATGATAGTATATGTGCTCCAAAAAAAAATATGCCCCAATACATTTGCATTTTAGTATAACAATGTACATGTCAAAACTATTATACTGTAATATATTAGTATACAGTATATACAGTTATATTAATGTATTATTATTATTATTATTATTATTATTATTATTATTATTATTATTATTTATTATTATTATTATTATTATTATTAGCTGTTGTGTTTCAATTCAATATTTCATTATATCTATCTATGCGTTCATTGATTTGCATATTTATAATAAAAATAGCTTACAGTCAACTACAGTATTGATAATATATTATATAGGGTATAAAAATACAATATATGATATAATTTTATCTATAACATTAAAAATATTAATAAATTTAACTTTACTATATAAATAAATATTTGTTTTGTCTAGGGTTGAAAGATATTAATTTWAAAAAAATAATATTGTCATCCAATTTTAGTGTCTGTCTAGAAATTTATGATTTATTAGAAAAAACATAAATATCAGAAATACACGATTTTTCTAATATTAAGATTTTTATTTTTTAAAAATAAATTTATTTAATTTTCTTATATATAAATATTATTATACACATATATAATACAAGTACATTTAATTAAAATAATATTTTAATATTATTTTAATCMTCTGTAATAGTATACTGTTTGCTATTAATATAAAAATTATTTATATTATCTAAAATAATGAAATTAAAAAAATAATATTTTACATGACTTCAAATATACTAATAAAATATTTTAATAGTTTATTAAACAAAATTAGTCCTCTAATTGTCCTCTATTTCATATCAAAATGTCCTCTAACCTTACCTCCCAACCATAGGTATAAATTATAATAATATATAATATACAKTAAAAAAAGTTTAATTTATTGAAGCTAACAGCAAATACCATAACATAAATCGCAAACATGATTTTTGCTTATGTATGTGAATAATAAATGCAAAATTTTTGCGTTGTTATTGTTATATTATTAGTAAATATAAAAAACTTTAATTATTTTATAACATAAAAATGTAATTTATTTGCATAGAAGAAAGAAAGAGAGAAAGAGAGAGAGAGAGAGAGAGAGAGAGAGAGAGAGAGAGAGAGAGAGAGAGAGAGAGAGCTCACTAAAAAGTTTGTTTAATATAACACAAAATCATGCTTTTATGATATATTATATATGAAATAACTATTATTTAATAAATATATTACAATAATATATTGTTTGCATAACTCTTAAGCAATCATTACATTTAATGTTTACTTATATTAAACTATACAATTATTAATATATTGTATATTTATATTTTATACACAGTAATTGTAATACATTATATAATAGCTACGTATAGAAAAAAATGCTGTACTTCATAACTTTACTCCCGGTGCTTTGGTAATTCAATATCAAATATATTTTTTGGGGGCCAATTACTCTACTTTATAACAGGCAATTTGATATATTGTATAATTATATTATGTATCTATACTTTTACTCTATATGTGCTTTTGTTTGTTATTTTATTGAGTATAATTATGTATSAAACTACCCGGGCAATTTTACCCCTACATCTACTTTTATTATCTATTATTATTGCCTAATGAAAGTCRACCTAACTATACCTATTGTCYAATAATAAAAATAATTCACTTTTGTCTACTGATTGCAGGCACCGAAACGGTTGAAGACATTGCGCTACGACTAAACATACCCATTGAGGACGTGAACCCGCGCGACGCCAAAGCGGCGGTGATTCACGGCCAGGATCTAAAGGACATGAACTCCGACCAGTTGGATGAGTTGCTCAGATATCATACAGAGATAGTTTTGCCCGTACGTCACCCCAACAGAAGCTAATCATTGTGGAAGGTTGTCAACGACAGGGAGCCATTGTTGCCGTCACCGGTGACGGCGTCAATGACTCGCCGGCGCTCAAGAAGGCCGACATCGGTGTGGCGATGGGTATCGCCGGCAGCGATGTCAGTAAACAGGCGGCCGATATGATATTGTTGGACGACAACTTTGCGTCCATTGTGACGGGTGTCGAGGAGGGCCGACTTATATTTGACAACTTGAAAAAGTCAATCGCATACACACTGACCTCAAACATACCTGAAATATCGCCCTTCCTGTTCTTTATCATATTCAACGTACCGTTACCATTGGGAACGGTTACCATCTTGTGCATCGATTTGGGCACTGATATGGTGCCCGCCATCTCATTGGCCTACGAACAGGTCAGTACTCGGGTAGTACTTATTTAGATTATGCTTATTAATATATATGTGTTTTGCTGTGTAAATAATGGTTAGGCCGAAAGTGATATAATGAAACGACAGCCCAGAGATCCCACAAAGGATAAGCTGGTCAACGAACGGCTCATATCGGTATCGTACGGCCAGATCGGTATGATTCAGGCGGCCGCCGGTTTTTACGCATACTTTGTCATTATGGCTGAGTATGGCTTCAAATCGGACCTACTGTTCGGACTCAGGAAGGACTGGGACTCAAAGGGTGTCAACGATTTGACCGATTCGTACGGACAGGAATGGGTTAGTTTGAGTTTTAATTGTAGTGATTATTAATTATTATTATTTTGTATTAAATCATATTTATGGTACTATTATCTAATTCAATATAAAAACTTTTATATCTATCTCTTTTTTTCCTCTAAATATGTTACCCATTCCTATCACATGTGTGTATATCTGTCATACATATGTCTGAACTGTGTGTGTGTTTGCTATGGTTGATGTGGACAGACATATAAAGCTCGTAAACAAGTAGAGTATACGTGTCACACGGCCTTCTTCGTGTCCATAGTGGTGGTCCAATGGGCCGATCTTATCGTATGTAAAACCCGACGCAACTCTATTATACATCAAGGAATGAGGTTTGTCCTACAAATATATCAATATTTATATATATATATATATACTTTATATAATATACTCTTTACATCATTAAAATTACTTCATTTCAACTGATATGCCATTCCCTATACACACACACACACACACATCAAATAGAGTACATACTGTATCAGTGATAGAGATAAAACAAACTAACAAACAAATTAAATGTAGTTTTTAATTTCGCGGCCCAACTATCTCTCTCTTAATCTATCTCTGAATCTAACTGTCCAAATGATGATACGATAAGACTCGTCAATGTCCCTGATGATTTTGGGGTAGACTGTAATTTAATTACAAATAACACATATTAAGCTTAGAGAAAAGTATCTTTATTTTTAATAAAAAAAACTCCCATTTACTTTACATTTGGAAACTACATATATAAATATACTGAATTCCCTGTACTAGTTATCTATAGTAATCCCTAGTATTAGTATGTAATAACTTTTTTTTATTTATGTTTTTATCGACACTAACTCTTTATCTCTCTCTCTCTCTCTCTCTCTCTCTCCGTCTGTTTTTATGTTTCGCTTAATTTACATTTTAATGGACATCACATACGACTAATAAACTGGATATTTGTGTCGACACCATTGACAACGACGACAACAACAACAACTACAAACCAATGGCACCGATACTAAATTATACCTATCTTTACACACATATAGGAATCATGTATTGAATATTGGTCTACTATTTGAGACATGTTTAGCAGCGTTTTTATCGTACTGTCCGGGAATGCCTGTACTTCTCAGACTATATCCATTAAAGTAAATATAATTTTTTTTATAAATGTTATTTTTTACTCATATTATTTATTATATCATTTTTTTAGTACATTTTTTTCATTTTGTAAATATACTATACTTTAGTTTGTCAGTTATTTACTTTAGCGTTATAAACAGATATTTAATAGATAATAAGTATTGATATAATATTATATATAGAATATAGTAATGCATTTTGCTTTTAAACAACAAAAATTTAAGTAAACTTTGAAAATATATATATTAAGTTGTGGGACATTCAGGCAGCTGTGCGTCATTAGACACTGTATTTAATGGGAACGGTGTGTTAAAGTTCACGGATAGACTGCTTTTCACATTTATCTCTTCTATCTTATATAAAAAAGTTTAATATAATAGCAATGAATTGATGTATTTTTTTACTCACAGTTATATCATAGTAATATATATGTATATATATATAGTTTTGTAGTCACTGAAAAACTACTACAAGTTTTTAGCTACTAAAAGCTTTGAACAATATTATCATCGATAGCATAGCATAGTATCGTATTATAACATAATATAAATTTATATAAATCATATATATATATATATATATATATAGTATATACATTATATATATATATAAATTCTATCACTGGTACATACCAGTAGTGGTAATGTATTTTTTTTTATAGATAGTAGACAACAAAACCGATAACTACAAAAAAAACTACAATATATATGATTACCACAAAAACGTGTGTTAAGATTATTTGACATTTAGCGATATTCAATGTCTTTTTTGTTGTCATTGATTGCGCTATATTAGAGAAAATTAGAAAAAAAGACTTTCGATGCCCTAACCATATATATATATATATATATATAAATATAAATATCTTTACGCTTATGTAGGTTTTCGTGGTGGTTCCCAGCATTGCCTTTTTCACTGTTAATATTCTTCTATGACGAGGCCAGACGTTTCATTTTGCGCCGAAATCCGGGCGGTTGGGTTGAATTGGAGACATATTATTGATTTTATTATTATTATTATTATTATTACGATTGTTGGTCACACACACACACAAACACTCACATACATTAACACATTACCTGATCCTAGCGATTCAACATACCGTCACCGATACCAACACAAACAAACCAAACACTAAACAACTTTCTTTCTCTCTTTCTTTCTTTCTTTCTTTCTATTTCTCTGTCTCTCATATGTATTAAATGATTATATATTATATATAATTGCAGCTAGTTCATTTTTATTAACAATAATTTAATTATATAATCTAATATATAAACAAATATCAAATTTTTAAAAATAACAAATTATCTAGCACAAAACAATTATCTAAATATAAATATATACATTAACTAATTAAAAAAAATTATATATAATTATAATTAAATTAATTAAAAAATATTAATATATAAATAGTTTTAGTAATTTTAAAATTGAATTATGATGATGATAATTAAATTATAAAATAAAATCATTTATTAATTATTATTATAATTATAATTATTTTATTGTGAAAATAATTAAATTATATAAATAAGATTAAAATATTATAAAACTTTTTATTTTAATTAATAATCAATAAACTTAAAAATTCTTAAATTTAATCATTTTAGAAATAATTTAAATTAAACAAAATGAATATCTATTAAGAAAAATTAGATATTTAAAATTAAATATCGATGCAATGTTTTTTTAAAAAATAAAATAAAAATACTTTAAAAATATATATTGATAATTATAAATACATATGTACTGTATTTTATTTAGTTAGCTGTAAAAATAATTTATATATATAAATATATTTATTATTTATTTTTAAATTGATTTTACATTGCACAACAAACACAAATAAAAATAAAATATTTTCAAAGAAATACAATAAATAAAAATTTATTGAAAACCACTTAAAAAACAAAGTACTGTATATGTGTGTACTCTGTATATGTAAATAATAAAATAAATTAATCCACAAAATAGAAAATACTAGTTATTTGTATTACAATGAAAAATACAAAAACTAAAAATATATATATAAAATAAAAATAAAAACTAGTGATTGATTACAAAATATAATACATGGATTCACAAAAACAAATCGCATATACAAACAAACAATGCGATAAAATACAACATTCAAACTTGAAAAATATTTTTCAAGTAAAATTGCATTACTATTAATATTTTATTTTTTTTTGTGGTGTTGTTTATTAAATTAAATTGTTTATTTCGATAACTATACGGTAATACAACTAGTAGTAGAAAAATTATTATAAGTAAGAGTATTATTATTAAAATACTAAAATATTATCATTATTATTAATATTATCATTAATAAATTTGGTGTGTTTAATGGTGTATAGTTTTATAATTGATAATGAAAAGTCATTCATCCAATAATTATTTTTATTTTTTAGCAAAAATTTTTATTTTCATTGAATATTTACTGTAGATTAGTTATTAAATTAGTAGTTCTAGTATATTACTATATAATTTAAAATAGGTATTACACATACTAGTATAGATTATAATAAAATTCATAGATAACTAACTACATACACACACACACACTTACACATTTACACACACACACACACACACACACACACACATACACACATACATACATACGTACACGTATGTTTTCAAAATAAAATAATTTTTTCAGTTAATGATAAAATTACCAAAACAAACATCAAAATAAAACACGTAATTATTCATTTATATTTAAAATAAATTTTGAAAACGCATCACAATTACATAAACATAAAAAAACTAATTCAATTACTATTATGATAATAAATAAAATTGATTTATTTGGAAATAAAATTAAATTTTTTAGTAATGAAATAAAATATCTCGTTATTGTTGTTATAACTTTGGTCTATTCTACTTTATTTATATTATTAATATAATATATTAAGTTAATTAAATATTAATTTTATATAATACATTATATACTATTAATAATTAGATTTTCAAAAGTAAGATATTGATTATTTTTAAAATTAATTTTAAATATTTAATGAATAATATATTTACAGTATATATGCTTATATCGTATAAAATCTAAATTTCTAATTATGATAAATGTTAGCGTAATGTACTGTATAGACAATTTTTAAAATACATTAATTATTGCTTATGATGCTTAACAAAATATTTTGAAATTAAAAATTTATTTTTAATATAATATGATATATCTCTCAAACTTACAGTATATGAAATTATTTATTATATTTATATACTGTACAGTATATATACATTTTCTTGAAATCTACTAATAACAGATTTTAGATTTATATTTAAATAGTATATACTAAATACAGTTATTACAACATTTACAGTATTATTAATTTAAACAAATTTGTAGAAAATATTTTCTAATGTAAAAATTAGGGCAAATATCTAATTATAAAATAATAATAATAATAATAATATGTTTATTTAAACTTTTAATATATAATTTTAGTGCATAAAGATATTTAGAAATATCTACAATTGACATAATTTAGAAAATATTTCAATGAATGAACTTAATTAATGAAATTATTTTTTTTGAATTTTATTTTTTACCAATTATAATGTTAAATTTATATATATATAAAGCAAAATATTTGTGTATTTCATAGTATGTATTAATATAATATTAGTTTTGTTTTAAAAAAAATATTCAAACTAATATATTATAATTAATCTCTGATTATATCAATAAATATAAATAATATTATTATTAAATTAAAGTTTTAGTGCTTACTTTTTAAGCAATAAATACATAAATTATCATATAATTTTAATAATTTAAGTAAACACACATTATATTTTATGCTTATCACATTAACGGCACATAATTATGTGTTAAATATAATTATTTATGAACGCTATAAATTATAAGCTATTAATTTTTAGATGCTTAGATTTTATTATAGAAAAGTCCAATTGAATAATTTAAATTTTTTTTTAAAAAAATGTTAGTTTCAAATTATATTGTAAAAGTTATAATCTAATGCATATTTTACTGTATATTAAATAATTATTATAATCAGATTCTGTGTTATAATTAATTGTCTTTTTATTTGCACATTTATTTGATGAAACAAAATTTATAATATTAATATAATATTATACTGTAATATCATTTATTGACATTTATAAATATGAGTTATTTTTTCTTATTATTTATATCTAATATTATTAACAAAATCTTAAAATTTATATTTAATGTTAAAACTCAAATTTGCAAATAAAAACTTATTAATAAATTTTTTTTTTTTGAAAATTCAATTACTATTTTTATGTGACATTTAATTTTTATTTAAAATTAAATACATAATACTAAGAAAAATAATTAAAATTACTATTATATACAGTATGTAATTGAAATCAACAAATTGTTTTCTAAAAATAGACATTATTTTTTAAGATATGTATAGATATTATTATTTTGCAATAGTAATTCATGTTTTGGCATTTTGTTTTTGGTTTTTATATATTTATATATTTAAAAATGCTAAATTAAAATAACTATATAAAAATATTATGTATTAAATAATAAAACAGTTAACAAATAGTATATGTATAATATTTATGTATGTATGTATGTGTATGAGTATATATATATATATATATATATATTAGTAGATATATTTGTCTGTATAAATTTAAATAAAAACAATTTATTTATAAATAAAATAAAATATATTCCCAACCAAATGATTTATTCTATTTAAATATCAATAAAATAAAATAACTTTTCTTATTGTTTATATTAGTGTTATTACTGTATATTATTATTATGGTTGATGTTTTTTTATAAGAAAAATAAATTAATATTATAATATGTAATTATTATATTTATATTTGTGGTTCATTAATATACTGATATTATAAATATACTGTTTACGATATTTGTATTATTGGCACATAATTTTATATTTCTATTATAATTTGCATACAATTAATAATTACCATAATTTTGTATACAAATGTAATTCAAAATAATATACAGGTACAAATAAATAAATAGACATAAATAAAATTTTGTTGATTACCTTCAATTGATATCAATGGTTATATTAATAATAATAATACAGATTAAAAATAAATTTTATATTAAAATACTATGCAAATTATTACTAAATATATACATTTAAAAAACTATAATTTATAATAATGATTATAATATTGTAGTTTCAACGCATGTCTAATGTTTATTTTAATGGACTATTGATAATTAAAATAAAATTAATTGTAGAATTTATTGCTTACAAAAAAACTTATAAAAAACAATCTGTTACTTATGACAATTAATATATGAATATTTAGTTTTATTAAATAATTGTTTTTTTAATTATATTAATTAATTAACATATGAACAAATAGTATTGTCAATAATTGTTTTAAAAATAATTTTTTTGTAAAGTCTAGAGTTCACAATTATATTAAACATAAATTCATATTATAAAATAACAACAATATTTACTACAAATAAACTATAATTTATGTCAAATTTAGTGTAAAATATTTACACATAATTATAAATATTATTTTTATTTACAGCAATGTTTGTAATTTACAGTAATATATAATACAATAAATGAAAAATTTAAAGATCATTAAAAACTAAAATATACAGTATATAATCTTATATATATATATATATATTAATACAGGTATATATATATATACTGTATTATTGATGACATCTAACTATAATGATATGCAACAAAAATTAATATAAATTAATTTTCAGCTAAATAAACATTTAAAATTGTAATGTTTATTATATTCACATTTTATGTAAATGTTAATTGTAATTTATTTTATTTTATTTTTATTTTTTGAAAAATAGTTTAATGGTATTATGAAATGTTTGACATTGAATTAAAATATGAATATTGATAAATAAATTATAATTTAATAAACCTAATAATAGGTTGTTTAGTTTAAAAAAATGTTTATCAAATAGTATGCAAAATTTAACTAATATAAATAATTTATCATACAATAATATTATGTTACATTTATTAATGTGTTATTATAATAATAAAACAATAAATATTTGAAATATTTTATTTAACAAATATAGTAAACACATCTACAAAATTGATTTATAAATTTATAATAATATGTGTTTTCATTGATTTATTATTAAATAATAATAGTATTTATTAATAAATATGTTTTTCCTGTTATTTTATTTAACCATTGATTTTATTATTTTTATTTTATATCAAATGTCAAGGGGTTAATGCATAAAAAAATTAACAGAATTGTCACTAACTTATTGAATATAAGATATGGACGAAAACAATATAAAATACTATAAGAAAATTAACGACATATACAACGATAACAATATAGAGAAAAGACTAAACATTAAATATACTGTAATATACTGTATATAATATAAAGGTATAAATACTGTATATAAAGTACAATATATAATGTAACAGAAGTTTGCCAGTAATTGAGTTTAAGTATAGTTTAGTTTACTTAAATCTATATATAAATTTATATATATATATATATATAACAAACACACATATTATATATATATAATATAATATATCCAAATAACAACACAAAGTAGAGGCTATTATTTAAATACTAAAAATACTTGACATATAAGTAGTGAGAGTAGAAACAGTGGTGTGTGTTGTTTGAATGAACATAAATACCAACAAAAAAAATCGATACAACCGTTAGAGAGATATTCACATTAGTTTTAGGAAATATACCAAATTTTTCTTAACTTTTTAACACACATACACACAACTGGATGTGCAACTAATATAAGATTTGGTACTTCAAGTCGATGGCATTATTTATTTGTTGTCAAATGACACACTACTTATGGCTGCATTTATTGATTAATGGTTGAGAAAGAAAGAGARAGAGAGAGAGAGAGAGAGAGAGAGAGAGAGAGAGAGAGCAAAGGATTGAAAATTACTAGTATTTTATGGAAACGACAGGAAATCAGTTTTTCTTGGTTTTTGACTATCGATTTACTCAAACAAGACTATCATTTAATATGTCAGATATACCCATACTTTACAAATAAAAGTAGCAAAAAACCGATATATAACTTATGATAAAAGACTTTAATGAAATACAAATCATCGGTTTATATAATTTGATTAAATAAAACTCTTTTTTCTCTAATTTTTCTTTCTATGTCTGAAAATAATAGTTTTTATTTGAAACAAATTTGTTTCACTACATTCACTCTGTTATTTGACAATAATATTGATAAAAAAATATCGGATATTAGCGTATTTTACATAATATTAGTCAAATTATATGTTTTATCGATAATTTTTATATAAAAAAACACATCGCATTAATATAATACTAGAAACAAATATATACTAGTATTTATGTAAAATAATAATGTAATAATTTTATTATGCAAATTGCTAAATTATTTTTATGTTATATACAACATTAAAATTTAGTTAAAAAAATAAATAGATAACGAAATTTTTTAATGTAAGGCACTATTATTTTGTTATTTTTAACTTATCCTTAAGATATAATGTATTATAGAATAACATAAAAAATTTTATTATAGTATTATTAAAATAAAATTTGTATCTAACATTTTGATATATGTCTATTATTGGATGACTATGGATTTTTAACACTTGTTTATCTATCTATTTATCTAACTATCCTTCAATATGTATATCCTCTTTGGAGAATTCATTAATAATATCACTAATGCTATAATATGTGCCAAAACCAAACCCAATGAGACCAAACACTATAAGTATACCATTCATTGCATTCATCCAAATAAATGTGAACCGACCTACAAAATACATAAAATATTATATATAAAAACTATATGTATATGAAACCATATATATATATATATATATATATATATATACATGTATATATGGTATATCATGTATGTTTTGAGAGATTTATTTAGTTTTATACATTATATCTATAATATATGTGATATTTCAATAAGTAATCAAAAACATTCAATGCCTATGTATTTTTAGCCACTAAAACATTGATTTTTTTCATCATATATATACTTAGTATCTTAGTATATCAATATATATATATAATATTTCATATAAAGTAAAATTATATATAATAATATATTAATATATAAAATATTTTTTGTCATACATTTTATGCTATACTATATATACATTTTATACATATTATATTTGTGTATTGTATGTGTCATTTATGTATACACATATAAAATATATGACATTTATATATTGACAAAAAATCACATTAAATATGTTTAATAGTATAAATAATGCATTAATTTTTGTATATACTATATGTTAGTGAAAAAAACTGTGGTGTTTGTAAAATATGAATATAAATTATTAATATTGTATAGAATTTTCTATTTCACTACATTTAATAAACAATATTTATGCTAAAATTATATTAGAAAATGTATAAATAAATTATTAATGTATTAATATTATTATTATTGGTTAAGCAAAATAATAAAATTAAAGACAAAAATCTCTTACTTTGCTTTTGAGAGCTAAATGTCAACAAATGTAGAATCGGTGGGAATATGATGGCTATGAAACTATTTTTGTGTCAAATGAAAAAAAATAAATATTATTATTTTTTTTTGAATGCATTGAATTCACGTAAATAAATTATAACTTAAATAAATAATAAATTTTTATTTGTATAAATGTATCAAAAAATGTTTTTTTTCAGATAATGTATACTAAAAAAAAATATATTGTATACTTTATATTTATTATGTATTAGTTTTGTAATATTTTATGTATTGTTTTATATATTTACTATAACTTATAGTTTATATTATTTAATATAACATATAGAATATAAATTACATATAATATATGTGCAAAATAACCGAAATAAAAAAATTCATATTAAAAAAATATTTCATTAAATAATATAAAAATTTGAGCTAAATATAGCCAACAATTGTCATATTTAAACTATTTTAATTTAATTATTGTTTTGCATCTGTATATCATTGAATTATCTATTATTAATAGAAAATTAACAATTATTTGTTTTTTTTAAATTTGAATAATATAAATCACATTTTTTCTAGTTTAGTAAATTGATAGTCTATAGACTATAAGGTAAAGATAAATTTTTGATTTGGGTTATAATGCAATCATATGATATACATTTTATATACTAAACCTTATCGTATCGTATATACCTTACCTCATGCTTATAGCGGCAAATAATGAGATTATGAGCTCCAGTTCAGGTATGAGTGCGGCAAAAGCAACTGAAATCATTTATTTTGTTTTTGTTGTTATTGTAGACATTTTTTTGGTTAGACCCAACACACACACACACACACACAAAATCCAACCAACCGATGAAACATATAATAAATAAATATAACAAATAAAATTAGGTAAGCAATGATATGAGTAGTACAGTATAATAAAATAGTTAAGTTTAAGATTTTATGATTTCTTATTGTTTTTCATTACTGGGTTTACTGATAACACTAATAACATTTCTCATTAAATCACAAATTAGATAAAATTTTAGAGTAGTAGTAGTATTCATAGTATATTATATACAGTTAGTTAAAAACAAAACAAAAATAGTTCATTTTGTAAATTCTTACAAAAATATAAAGTACTCACTCACTCATTCACACACACACACACACACACACACACACACACACACACACACACACACACACACACACATACATACATACATACACACACACACACACACACACACACACACACACACTAAAAACAAATAATAAATATTGTAAATAAATTACTTACACGTGAGTAAAACCATAAGAGTTCTGAATAAATAGTTAGATATCTCACGTTTGCAATAACTGGCCTTATTGTCGATCAACCGTTTGTCAATCAATGGCCACAACATCTCGATGGCACCGAACAACAGTATGGGATACGTGAGTACCACTGCTACGGCATATATAAACTGAACACAATAGTAGAGTATCTCTGCTGGCAGTGATAGCGTAAGGCTGGCCTCGACTGATGAACCGTATTTGACATAACCGAGAAAACCGATTGTAAAATAAAAGGCCAATACTATGACTATAGCGACGTTGAGGACACCAAACGTTTGGCTCATTTGTTCCGGTTTTTCCATATTCTTGTACAATGGGATGGCCTGAAAACCCCCCCAATTACTGTTTGTTAGATTATTTTAAAGTACAGTCGATTCTATCTGATTATGAAATGCATACCACTTTGACTACTTCGAAGGCAAACACACTGGTAGTGAAAAAGAATGGTATTTTGTTGCCAACGGGAACAGTATGTATGGTTACCGGATCGGGTATATCGCGTAACAGATTGTATAATAGCATACATAGTGCTACCACTTGTAAGAGATTGGCCAATAGACTGGCTATCGATAGGGTACGTATGTTGCGGACATAGGTCAACACTACAAGAATCGGTAGTATAATTAGTAGGTAGTACTCGATGGACATGGACCAGAAGCCATCATAGTTGGCACCGATAAGTGCCGGAGCAGTAGTATTCTGGTCTGAGTTGACACGAATCAAAAACTAACAAATGTTATATCAATTAAAAAAAATGTGTAATAATAATAATATTAGTCAACAACAAAAATAAACTAACATTTTTTTTTGTTAATAATGTTTAGGAAATTATGTTTTACAGTAATTTATCAAGTACATTAATTATTAATATATGTATAAACAGTGTGTATTGCGATAGCATGTCTAACTTTATCACTTTAAAATTAAATATATCTTAAACCATGTATTGAATATTGATGATTTTTTACATATTAATAGGTTGAATACCCCGATTGATTATAAATGAAAATTTTTTTAAAAAATAAAAACTAAAAAATATATATTACACATTTATAATACTAAAATCACTATTTTTCTGATGATGAATACTTTTAGGAATAAAAATTTTAAGCTATTTTCAATCAACAAAAAGTTAATTTAATTTTTCAATGATATTAAAACAATTTTTTTTAGTAATTTATTTATTTATTACTGAAATCTATTTGTATTTCTGTTTGAGATATAGAAAAATATGTATAAATCATTTATACTAATATTATCAATTAAATTTTGTCATTTTCAAAAAAAACACAGTCAAAATTTTACTTTTAAAATATAATTTTTTTCACCAGAAATATAGCAAAATTTTAGTATTTTCTTTAATATTATTTTAGTTTTATTTTTTTTTAATTTTTGATTTTATCAATCAGGATATTCAATTTATTATTATAAAAAAATATCATCAAAATTGTATACAACAAATGCATATACAGTATATTAGCAAAATGTGTGCAAATATGTGATAAACATAATATTAATAAATTTACTTTAATTTTAAAACTACAGCCTTGTTTTGTTTATTTTTTGTCTACAGTAATTATAGTAATATGTATTATTAGATATAAGTTTTATATACATTTTTACAACAGCTTATATATATAAAAGTAACAGTAAATTGTTATTAATATACTGGCAATGCTGTCGGTAGCAGCGGTTTAATCATTATGTCTAAGCCGGATAAGCACTTATACTGTATATTAGTTGCACAATAATACTACTGCCGGTGCACACAATTCATATAAATTAATATATATGTGTGTGTGTTGTATGTATGTATTATATGTATGTATTATATGTATGTATTTGTGCATTTAATTTATAAACTATTAGTTAACTAATCAATTTAGATACAGTACAGTACATGTACTTTATATTTTACTCACAATTTTGAGATTATCGGCAATAAACACGTTATATACGGAACAGCCGCCCACTTGAGATATAACCAAAAATGTCATCACAATATAACGGGCAGTTTTGGCAAACCGTTTTAACGGTTTCGGTCCATTTAATAGCACTTTTTCAGCTACCTATTCAAAAAAAATAAAAATAAATAATATCACATTTGATACCAACAAAGTGATAGCTAGTTGTGAATAACAATAATTTATTAATACATACGTCCTCATAATCCATGGGTTGTGAGCCTAGTTCACGACACAGGTGGGCGTTAATCCATACCAACAACAGTATACAGTAGTTCATCAAAACGGCAAAAATAGGTGTACCTATACAGGCGATAATCAGTCCGCCGTCGGCAAACGCACGGGGCATTGCCAGTATACCAGACCCGATATATCCATTAAGCAAATGCATTAACGTTTGGCCATAATTTGTTTTTTGAGACATTATTATTATTTTGGTTTTTTTCTCTCTCTAAAGGGTTGTTATTAGCATACAGTCGTCTCTAATGGGTTTCCAATATTTTTGTTGTTGTTGTTATTTAAATAAATACGAAAATTTTGATGCATTTACAAGTAATATAAGAATTTATTTTCTTTTAGATAATTCAGAATATTCTATAGTAATATATAATAATAATAATAATAATACCAAAAAATCAATCGACATGTAAGCTATACTGTATTACATATAAACTTTTTTTTCTTTAATACCCAATAGTTATTTTTTTTTGTACTAACAATATATTACAAACACATACACTAATGACACTACATTTTTGCCTAATCAACAAACCATATAATAATAAAATAAATTGAATATAATGTGTTAAGAAATGTGTGTATATATAAAATAAAATAAAAAATATATATATTCTTTATATACAGTATATCTTACATTTATGATTTACACACTCTTTTCTAATGGTTTGTGTGTTGAAATGTATATACAGTATCATATATACAGTATATAAAGTATATATATTTTATAAATGAAAAAATAAAATAAAAATGTTTTTTTATCATTACCATTAAACATGTTGTCTGTATGCGTGAACTCTAGACTAACTATCAATCTATTTATCGTAACAAATAGTATAATACAGTAGTATATATTATAGTATATCATTACAATTGTTAATGACTTATTACTATTAGTTATCGTTAGGCGCTGCTGCTCCCGGTGCTATCATTAGGACAGTTATATTATATTTTACGATTCCCCGATTGGTGGTATTCTGTGCATAAGTAATCTAAACAGTGCTCTTTTTTTATTATTATTTAGCTGGATATAATTTCACTGAGCTAACTAGCAAATGGACCCAAATATATATATATATATAATTAACTATATGACGGCAACGACTTAAACGTATGTGTTTTGTCATTTAAAATGGTAATAATAATAATAACTGTCCAAACTGTCTGTACGTTGCTTAAGATATTTACTGGTATTAACCTTAATACTAGTGTCTAGTAATCGATACAATATTTTTTTGTATTTCTATACAGGTTTACAATTTTTGTTGTTTTCATATACTTATTATTGTTTATATCCTGATAATTATATTATAATAGAAAAATAATTTATTTATTTACTCTATATATATATATATATATACGGACGGATAGGTCAAAATTATAGGTCACTCTAATGGTCACACACAATATATATATGATGTCTATAGATTTAGTAAAAGTATAAATATTTATTATATATAAAAATAAAGTCTCGTTAACGACTATAATAAATGAAAAATATTTATCATTTTTTCTGACAATAATTATTTATAATAATAATAATAATAAAAACCATTTTAACTAACGCGATAAAATGTCTAAATTATTTTACTTTACTCTTTATATTACTTTATGATAAAGTAGTAGTGTTTTATTATTAAAGTAACTGCTATTTATTGTTTTTGTTATGTTGTATATAAAAAATGGTAACTGCTTGATGATAATGTATGAAAACATTAAATCTAGACATTGCCTAATATAAATAAGCTAGATTTAAATATAATAATAAATAAATAAAAGTAATAATAATAATAATAATAACGGTGCCTTATTACAAAATTTATTTTATATTTAGAATAAAACATAGATTAAAACTTATATATAAAAGTTTGATAATATTAATAAAAATAATTATTGTTGTTATTCAGTACACATAATAAATAAAACCCAGATTATATCTATGCAAATGAGTAGCCAGTGTTTGCACAGTACACTAGTATTGTCGGAGAAATATTATTACAGTATAATTATGTAGATTAATATTTACTTTCAATGTTTGTTTAATAAAAAAAAATTTCGGCAAAAATAATTTTAATTTAAACTACAATCATTATAATAATGACAGTCCTATTATTGAATAGTGAAAGTTATTTACTGATAATCTTCTTTTATAAACATATTCAGTAAAACATATATATATAATAAAAAAGTTTATTACGATTATTATCATCACAATAATAATGCTAATATTTTTTATAAAAAAAATTAATAAATATATAATTCATTGCTTAGTCATCATATTTTCTTTAACAAAAAAAAACATATTTTTTGGATATAACTATAGAAATATTTTTTTGTTGATTGAATTTTATTTACTTATTTTTTATTTGCTGACACATAAATGGTATTCATTTCTAGGAATCTTTGAATTTTAGAAATTATAATACATTTTTGTGTTCAGAATATTCTTATATTATTTTTCCGAAATTCTTGTAACGCGAGGGCATCTCATGAGCTAAATCTCAAACATTGTCTAAACAAATCATTAACTACTGTAACACATACTAGTGCTCTCTTAACTTACTTTTAGTGATCTCTCTCTCTCTCTTCTTAATACTTTGTTATCAAAATACAAAATTATAAAATATATAATATATATATAAAAAGATTTCATTTTTTTATTATTACTATATCAGCAGTATATTAAAAATGTAAAGCTTTTTGCTTTGTAAATATAAAAATAATAATAATATAATTTTGCTTAAAGATAGTGAACCAGTACACTCCATTAAAATATAGTACATAATCTAAATTACTTTTACAATAATAAAAAATAATATATAAAATGAGTTCAACACTTAGAGTGCACTTTAAACAAATGTAATGTATATTTTACAGAAATAAAATACATTTATATATTTAAAAAAAATCTTAGTTCAAATATACTTAATAAGTGCCGTTAATTTTAGACTGAAATATAAAAATTTATAATACAATAATTGAATTCTTAAAGTCTGAAACCAATTATAAACTCATAGCTTGTATCAAAAAAAAAATATTACTAATCCTTAAACAAATGTAAAACTTTCTTAATCTCTAATTACTTGATTTCAAATATTTTCACTAATAGTTTCATTAAAAAAAACTTTCATAAATTAAATACTAAAAAAATTAATTGAAATCTATTTAATTGTATTTATTTAATAAATTATTTATTGTTTTATAAGATCTTTTAAATATATTTTTGTTTTAATCTTAACCGTTAATATAGGACTTTTAATAAATGAGTCTAAATATTTATAAGTGGTTTCTGAATTTTATAAAAATCTACTTAACAAAAGTTATTTACATTAAAAAATGAGAATTTTTTTAGTAATATTTATAAATTTGCTTTTATATACTCAAAATACAACTTAGATAACTTGTTTATCCCATATTTGTTTTTATCCTAAATTGATATTTTGTCAAAAAGTATTATTATACAAGAATTTGTTATATTATATTATATACAATTGTTTTATCTACAAATGTTATTTAAAAAAAAAAAACTTCAGACTTTTAAATAAAATAAAGTTATTATAATAACACTTATTATCAATGACTGCTCTAAAATATACAGTAAATGTAATGTTTTATTATTCACTGTATATTATTAATAAAGTATATCGTATAGTATAATGATTGTTATATTATTATTTACTGTATATAAAGATATTGTAAAATACTGAAACATTTTTATAGTCAATTCACAGATAATCAAATTTAATTCATAAATTACTGAATGCATTGTATAATTTTTTAAAAGGTTAAAGTACAATTTTGCTATTATATTGATATAGCCTTGAAATAAATTACACATATATTATCATTTTATTAAATATTTAACAATATACACAGTATATATATAAATATATATATACTTAAATTATTATTTAAAAATAAATTTTGAAGTATTAATTAATATTTTTGTAAACGTGTAAACATTAGAAATTTATTTATTTAATTAATAATATTAAAAATGATAACATTATAACATTTAATAAATAACACCAAATTGAATTTTAAGTAGTATTAGTTGAGTAAATATAAATTATAAAATTAATTTATATTTATTTGATTAAAGTATATTGATACTTATTTTAGAAAATATAATTGAATTTGATCAATTTGATTTTTTATATATAATTATCTTATAAAATAGCAAATATATATATATGATTTAATAGGACTTATGCTATGTTTGACTAATAGAAATGGACAGTTAAAGTGATAGAAAAATAAAACAAAAATCCAGATCAATATAAATAGAAAGACCGATAATAATAATAATAATAATAATAGTATTATTAAATAGTATTATTATTATTGATAATAATATTAATGGAAATCATAATTAAATTTATTTCTATGACTTTATATATTTTCTCGTACGTCCGTTACTTTTTTGCAATATATATATATATATATATATGTTTTGCTGACAAAAGGAGTTAATGGCAAAATAAGATTTCCTATTGTATTAAAACTATTATTATGTTTATTAGCCATCAAGTATTAAATGAAATGTACAGTAAATTTTTATATTATACTTATGGTAGACTATATACAGATATATACAATGTATTGTATAATATATTGATTATATAATATAAGATACAAAATAAACTTTAGTTATAATATTATAAATATATAAATACATAGACTATTAACTGTTATATAATATATATAAAAGATTCATTAAAATAATTGATGATATATTCTGGTGAATGTGTGTATCAAACAAGCAAACTATTGAACCAAAACAATAGTAAACTACTGGAAAAATACTGTAAAGTAATCAGTGAAACCAAATGAAAAATAAGTCAATGAAAACATTATGTGAATAAAGGAAAAAATGCTAAAACAAAATATATTGGTTTATAGGTTAAAGTTAAACATTAAATTTAAATGCTATTTATTGTACTGTAAAAACTATATACATTTAAGAGGATAAAATATTTAACAAATAGTACATAAAGTTTTTTTAAATATAAAAATTTAAGAGAAAGAGGTGGAGAATGAAAGCAAATAAAAGGCATAAATGATATATATATTTAATTTGGTTATACAGCTCTCCTCTCTCTCTCTCTCTCTCTCTCTCTCTCTCTCTCTCTCTCTCTCTCACTAACTCACACTTAAAGTGCATCCTGTGTTAAATCGATATCATAAAGCTATTTCTCTATCCTTTTATTACACAATCAATAAAGAGAGAGAGAGAGAGAGAGAGAGAGATTTAACAAAAAAGTCCTCAAAAAACATATCTTTGTATTCAATGGGATATCTGTGTCTCTCTCATAGCTTGTAATTCATTTTTTCTGCACTAGTATTTGACGCAAACAAATCAATTGGATGTGAATTTTGCGCACAAAATATATATATATAGAGAGAGAAATAGGCTCATAATATGCGAGAAAGATAGAGATTTAATGCATGTGTTTGTGTAGATGAGGACCGGGAGTAATATTACCCCTATCCATGTTGTTTATCCCATGTTTTATTAGTCGCTCATCACTGCAACCCATAAACACAAAAGTCAGACAACAACTGGTCTGGTGGTTGACTAACACACAAACATAGACTGACAAAACCGTACTTTAATTTTGCAGCTGTTTATAGGGTATATGTTTGTATGTATGTATGTATTGTTTGTCTGTCCTATTGTATTGTGTGAACAGTTATAGTATTGTTTGTTAATATCTAAATATCTATTTATCTCACTTTCTCTGTCTCTCTCTCTCTCTTTCTATTTTTTTTTGTGTACTCTAGTGTGGATGAGTGTGCCATTAAAATGCTTGACCAGTGCTATACTAGACAATCATTGCCAACATCGATGGTGTCATCACATCATTGCTGTCATTATCGCAAACACATAATCATTATCGAGTCGCTCATACCAATCCCCACTTAATCCTAGTGCAAACACATACCGTTACTTACAGTACTTGCATTTGGGCATTCAAGTAAAAAAATAGTATCAAATAAGATATCTATTGATTTATTAGTTTATATCTATATGTACTATACTGTATAAACTATATAATTTATATATAAAATCTGTCTTCAAAATTTATTACTTATGAAAATCAAGTTTTCATCACAAATATAAAACTTATAAAAAAATATTGAAAGTAAAAGTTTATCGCAGTTTATGTACTTTAGTGAAAATAATAATAATAATAATAATTGCAATAATACAGTATAAAAACTTTTATTTCAACTTTAATTTATTGAACAATATAAATTAAAGTGTAAAGCGATATCTCATCTATTTTGTTATAAAAAAAGTCTACCAAAAAATATAATATGTGACAAAATTGTTTTTAGTTTTTTGATTAATTGTTAAAATAAATTTTTAAAGTGCTGTCTCTGATGGGAAAAGGCAATAATAATAATAATAATAATAATAAAATACAATATAATACTGTATTTTGTACTGTAATTTTCTCCAATAGATAAAGCAATTATTGAATTGTTTTTTTTGTTGTTAGAAATGTTTATTAAAAATATATATATATTAGTATAAGTTATAAAAGATATACTGTGTAAACTATTTGAAAAAAACAAACAATCAAGTGGTGTGTTTTTTTTGTAAATAATATACAGTAATAAACTAATATTTAACGATAGTTATTTAATATATATAAAATAATATATCTATAACAATAAACTATATAACGATAACGAAAATTTGTGGCTTTTTAGGTCCAAAAAGATAGAAAAACAAAATTATATTTATTTCTAACTATCTATCAGATTGTTATATAATTTATTATAAAAAAATCGATATAACAAAATGTGACAATATATATATATATAATAATGACATATAGATTTACATCACTTTACTATTATATGTAGTAGATATACATTATATATATAGAAAATATATAGCTGTATACAGATTGTAACACTAAATCAAATAAAAATTAAATCTATATATAATTTTATATTATAATCTATTTGTTCTAATCGATAGAAATCTTAGATTATTTTTGTGATAAAAACAAACAAAAAATCTTAAGTTTCAAATTCAAACAACTTATTTATTTTTTTATTATAGAGTAAAAGTAAAAAATCCATTAAATTTTTTTTGCCGTATAATAATAAACTAGTATTGTTGTTTATATGTGTTGTAACTATTGACATATCTAATCGATACAACAACAACAACAAAAATAACAACATCAACAACAACTACTACTACAAAATATGATGACTTCAATTATATGGACAAATATAGACAAAATTTGGCGACTATTGTCATGTGAATACACAGCTGTAAACGCATACACATTGTAATGCCATTGATTTCATACCGTGGCTCAGGTAGTGGGGCCCGATTCTTGTGAGTATATATTTTATTATTTATTATATAAGTATAGCCATTGAATAAATAGTTTGCATGTTTGTGTATTTTGATTAAAAAAAATATAAATATATTTATATATCCCGGAGCTTTTACAATTATAAACTCAATAGGATGCCGCAATTGTATAGTACAACAATTTTTTTTAATAGTAAATTATAATAAAATTTGTTGTCAAAATTGGTTTTATATTTAAATATTTTACTTGAGTAGATAATCTATTTACTAACTTAAATAAATAAACTTCAAATAATATTTATTTGTTTTTATAAAGTTGATAATTATTCAATTACAATTAATAATTAAAAATTTATTATTGGTCTACAAATAGACTATAAAATTATAATACAATAAATAGTTGTACAACAAAATATATTTTTAAATTAATATTATAACTCAGTTTATTAAAAATGCAAACATCAATGTTTTTTTTTAAAATTTCTCATTAAATAAAAATAATGTCATATTATTTTTAAATATATATATATATATTAATATATATTAACTATTAATATTATTTTTAAAAATATTTTGATCAATAATGTACATTAAATATTGACTGTTAACTAACTGAAAAATAAATTAAAAATAATTTAAGATATAAGTCATAAATTTTAAAACTATTGTCACTAAGTTTGTCAAATAATTTTATTGAGATTAAAAGTTATTAAAATAAAAATAAACTTTTAAATTTTAGACATCATTATAGTTATTGAAAATATCAAAAATTAATGATCAAAAAATGTCAACAATAGGACAAAATATTAGAAATAAAAAATTATTATTTTTTCTAAATATACAATACCGTATTAATCTATAATAACTCTAATTTAGCAATATTTATAAATTGTATTATAAAAAATCGAAAAAAAGTTAATTCCATATTTTATTGTTAAATTTAATCATTAAAATTTTTATTAAAAAATAATATCTTGCAATATGAATTTTTTATTATAATCTTTTATAAGTTACAATTTTATTATAAACGATATATATCTATATTTTGTATATATAATACAATATCATTTTATTATTTAATATATATTTTCAAAATATATTTCTTAAAATAAGAATATTTTATTCTTATTATTATTATAAAATTTAAAAATTAAAAAAAGTAACAAATTTTGATTATATGACAAAATAATGTATAGAAAAAGTGTTAGAAATTTATTATATGACGGATCAAACAATATTTTATTATTACTAAATATTTTTTTGTGTATAAATAAAAGGGCCTTACATTAATCTCGCACACGCGGTTTTTGCTATAATTCTTAAACGGAGTGAGATATATTAATTTTGTAAAAAGAGTATTAAAAAGTGATTTACGCGTGATATTATAAAATATTAAATTTTTAATTTTGATCACGTGATCATTTTTATTCTTGGATCTTTGCAAACCACTATATCACAACCTAAACTATAAATGCTAGAATAAAATTTCAATGGTAAGTTTGTAATGCCTAAACTGGAAATTTATAGGAAGAAAAAAATTTTAAAATTGGTCGAAGAATAAATTTTTTATGGCTTTTAAAACTTGTGGAAAAACACATTATATAAAATTGTGGAAAATAAAATGACGTTATTTATGGACAGTAGACACTTATTAGATAGAGATATTAATACTATTGCTTATTCTGAAAACAAAATTTTTTTATGTTAAATATTTTTTTAGATAATTAAATTACAATAAAAAACACAACATTATATTTCGATAATACAATTTTTAATTAAATTTGATTATCTAAAAAAATATTTGACATATAAAAATTTTGTTTTTAGAATAAGCAATAGTATTAAAATCTCTATCTAATAAGTGTCTACTGTCCATAAATAACGTCATTTTATTTTCCACAATTTTATATAATGTGTTTTTCCACAAGTTTTAAAAGCCATAAAAAATTTATTCTTCGACCAATTTTAAAATTTTTTTCTTCCTATAAATTTCCAGTTTAGGCATTACAAACTTACCATTGAAATTTTATTCTAGCATTTATAGTTTAGGTTGTGATATAGTGGTTTGCAAAGATCCAAGAATAAAAATGATCACGTGATCAAAATTAAAAATTTAATATTTTATAATATCACGCGTAAATCACTTTTTAATACTCTTTTTACAAAATTAATATATCTCACTCCGTTTAAGAATTATAGCAAAAACCGCGTGTGCGAGATTAATGTAAGGCCCTTTTACAACAAATTCTATAGCTGTGTATTACAAACTAAAAAAATATGATAAATCTATTAAACAGTGATTTATTTCAATTTGACTGAAAAAAATCGCGATTGCAGTCCAAATAGCATTTACCAAACATTTTCTGATAATTCATAACAGTTACTATTTGTCAAAAAATTTTGTTATGCATTTACAAAATAATAATAATAATTTCATTTATACTTTATAGTAATAATAATAATACAGTAATGCGATTAAACTTATTTGTGATGTATAGTCAAAGAGAAAAAATAATTTTTTACTAGTGTTTTGAATTTTATTTTACTCTCTCTCTCTCTCTCTCTCTCTCTCTCTCTCTCTCTYTCTCTCTCTCTCTCTCTCTCTTCTCTCTCATTCATTCACTTATATTTAATATATTGTATATACAATTCAATGTCTTGAGATGAGAGTAAAATTGAGAGCATCTCTTATACTGTGTATAACAAAATAATAATAATAAATTTTTTGATAAAAAATGATAATAATAAATTTTATAAAAAGTCATTTTTCATTTACAAAACATTTATTTTCTTTACATTAAATTTTGTTTATCTCCATTATAATAGAATTTTTTTTTTATTTAATAATTTTTTTCTATAGAAGAATATTAACTGAATTATTTTTTTTAATATATTTTTCTGAATTTTAAACTTTCAAACAATAATTTAATTTTATTATATTTTAATATATTTTATTATAATTATTATTGATGTATTTAAAATATGTTTTACATTTAGTGTTATTTATTTAAAATATCAAAAAATAACTATAGTTTAATATTTAAATAATAAATAATAACAATCAATAATATTTAATAATATACCTAACAATCTATAGTACTGTTTATTGATTTATTAAAAAATCTTATTGATTTTATTTAATATTACAATTTGTTAGTAGATTAATGAGTAAATGGCAATCAGTAAGTATAGATAGGGCTAATGACCCATTGATTTTAATAATAATAAAATACTTTTTCATTTAGCCAATAAATCACTTAAAATATATTACTATTGTAAACATTACGTGCCCTCCATATATAGTATATTATATAATATAATTTTATACAATATATGTCTAATCAATTGTACTGATGTAGACAATAGGTCAGCACCAAAAAGATTGATAAATTATTATATATATATATTTGACTACTGTTTTAATAGTTGTCTAAATAATATGACTGATAATAGATTTGTTTGTATAGACACACTGGACTTCATTAGTCTAAGTGAAACATTTGTAAACAAGCAGTTAATGACAAAACAGTTAAAGACCTATCACTAGCACAACACACACACACACAACCAGTAAAAAAATACAACTGTCCTCTACTTACATACAATCATTAATTTATATAAAAATCTTATACATTTTGCTTGTAAGCAATCAAAGTTAACCATCCATTTAAATGATTAAATTGTTTTTACTATATTATAGATATATACAATATTTAGTTGTAATGCGAAACTAAAAGCATTTGTATGTAATATTTCAAAAAAAACATAACAAAAATGTAATTTTTATGCTTTTTTCTATTTAAACTGTAGTACAGTTTAATAACAGCAAAACAACATAATTAATCAATTTATAATGTTTAGATTAAAGTATGATTGTATTTTTTATACTATATTTATAATATGAAATGCAATTTATTTTTGAACAGTACATAAACATTAGTTTTGTTGAAATTAACGTTAAATTATAGTTTTTTTTAATCTTTTATTTAAAAATAAAATAGATGAATGCCAAGTTTAAAAATAAAAAATATAGAAAATTAAAAAAACTGCATATATTGTACAGTAGTAAAATTTTTTTAGTAATTGAATATTATTGATTTTCAATAAATTATATTTTATCAATAAATTTTTTTTAATACAATAGATAGTCTATTATAAGTTTTAGTACTAAACTAAGCTATAATAGTATTAACATATATTAATTTTTTTGGTATCATTTTTGCACCTATAGTTTTGGTGTGAGTACGCGTGAGTTTCTGCGACCGCACACATACGGTCAGGTCAACAAAAATCCAATATACGGCTCAATCATTGTCATTACATCCATAATACTGGTGACGGTATTTCTGTTATTGGCGCCCAACTCCGTACAACCACAAGCCTCTTACATAGCATTTTCATTGCTTCTCATACTGCCCTTGGTTTTCATATTAGTCATACTATTCAATCAATTTAAGCGAAAATATTTGGCACATCCAGTCCCAGACATACACGCCGACGATATGGGCACCGGTAGTCACCATCCGTTCTACGAGTTTGCCTTCATCTCCAAAAACGATGTCCGCCGGCATAGCTCGCAGTCAATGGCTGCTCATAATAGCGACCACAAGTTGTCCATCAGTTCGTCGCCGACGCCGTCAAAAGTATATACAATCACAATACCGCCGCCCAGGAGGTCGCCATCATTTTAAGGCGCTGTCATATGTCTAGTAGTGCAACACTACTATTAAAAAAATATCATTATTTATTATTAATCATAAAAATATAAGTTTTATTTATTGTATTTCCCATATATCATAACTGTGTTTAAATATATATAATAGAAATGTGTGTATAGGTGTGTGTCCTTTTTATTCACTACGTCTACTAAAAAAATATTTATTGGATTTTTTTCTATAAAACTATTAATACAGTATATACTGTATTTATATATATTGACTAAAATCAACGATTTATTTTACAATAGATTATTGATTAAAACATATAAATATATGTATTTTATATTTTATATATATTAATCAATAATTATTGACAACTATAAACGTCTTTCAAAATATAGTATTTGACATTTTGTCAGTAAATTTATGTTTAAATTTAATGAACTTAAATAATGTAAAATACTGTATATTCAGTACTATAATATTTATTTTAATTTATTAATTAATTTCAATTGTCTATTATTGTGACCTATATATAATCAATTGAGTGCTCAAAATTGAATATCTGATTATTATTCAGTATAACTTACAAATATTACATGAATATATAAATTTATATATTTATTTCAATATCATAATTTATAGTATATAGATTTAAAACTTATTTTTTAAAATATTAAGTTTATTATTATAATAATCATTTTATCATTAAATAAAATATAGAAATAAATTCAATAATATTTGATTATTTAAAAACTTGAATGTTCAAAATACTAAATCGATAATTAAAATATAATAATTACCACCGTGATGTTTTTCAATTTAAAAAAAAACATTATTTATATATGTATAGTAAACTAATTAGATTCTGTATATGAAAAACATATTATTTTATATTTACAAAGTTTGCTAAAATATATATAAAAAAATATACTGTACAACGAAAATTTAACTTATAAAATAAAACAATAATTATTAAATTATAAATGTTACCATATTTTCTATATATGTGATAACATATGCAATCAAATCGATATATGGGAATAATATTAAATTTTTTATTATTAAAAAAATTTGATTAATAATATATTGATTAAAAATATTATGCATGTTGACAATGTTAATGTAAACTAAATTTAATTATTTTATTAAATTATCTATTGTTATTATTATTATAATTATTATTATTAAATCAATAATGTATAATATTAACATTAATTTTAAAACTTGCAATTTATCAAATTATGTAATTAAAAAGACAAATCTTTAATAAATATTAATTACTCTTCATTATTGATGCTGTTATTTGTAGAATTTATTTATGAATAAATATAGTATTTTTAATTGACAATATATAATATATACATATATATATAATTTTTTAATAATTTTTTTATAGATAAATGATCTTTAAAGCAATTTATTATTATTATATTTTTTTACTCTTCAACTAAAAATAACTTTTATTTAACCTTTAATTTTTTATAAGGGTTTCTAACCAAAGCTAAAAATAAATAAAAAATAAATACTATTATATTATAGTAAAATAAATTGTATCTATTAAAATATCATATAACTAACAAATAATTTATATAAAGTATATATTTAGTTTACCCTGGAGAAATAGTTATATAATAATATAGATATTTATATACAGTTATATATTTAAACTTTTGTATGTGTGGGTAGTCAGTCGTCATATCAGGTCATAGCCTTTGACCTTATTTTTAGTGATAATGTTGACCATTGTATTTAAAAATAGCACAAACAAACTGTACAGATAAATACAGTACTAAAAAACTGATAAAATAGTTGATAAAAATTTTGTGTCATTTCCTTCAACAATAATTTAAAAAGAAAAAAAAATAAAGAAATCGTTTACAGAATTTTAAGTATTATATAAGTATATATTTGTATATATATTGTATATATATTGTATAATTAAGTATAATAAAATTATTTAAAAAAATACTTTTTTGTTTCCTATGTCAATATACCGTATAATTTATATTATATTTATATAAAATTTTTTTTAATGAATTATTAATGTTATGCATAGACGAAATTTTTATTAATATTTAATATATTACAAACATTTGTATACTTTATATAACTTATTGTATATGTTTATAGTGTTATTAGTATTATTTTAGTCCAAAGTGTTATTGTTTTTATTTTTATGTTACTTCTAGTGTTTTTGTTAACAAATAAATTGTAAGTATAATAATTTAATACAATTATTTTTATTATTATTATATTTTATATATATATATAACAAAATGTAATTTAGAATAAATACAAAAAAAATAATTTATTTATTTAACTTATAGTTTAAATTATACAGTAAAATATAAAAAATAGTAATCATTATATAATGTCTATTATTAATATAAATTATTAAAATTATAATAAATTGCTAAAATTATTTAGCAAAAAAGACATTTAAAAAATTCTTTATATAATTTTTATTTTAGATTTAAAAAATTAATTAAATTATTTGTAGTGATTTATGATATTAAATATAAGTATATAAATTTATATTAATAATTATTTTTCATTATTATTTAATTAAATAGAACTCATAGATAAATAAGATATTTTTTGATGCAATTAATAAATTTATATTTATATTAGATTAAGTTTAGCAATAATATTTAGACAATTTGTTAGATTGCATTATCAATATCATTATTAAATTTTTTTTTAATATAACAATATATTGCAAAACATTTTTATTTATATTTTCAGATATGATATGATATCTATCACCTAAAGTAATTGAATTTATTGTCCCTTTTTTATCAATATAATAGTCACTCGTGTATTGCTTGGATAGTATCGATCCAGTAATGAGAAAGACATTGAGGAAGACCTTCAAAACCAAATAATACAATAAAAAAATAAATTTTGTACGAAATATCTTTCCTCTCAATTTTGACGACAGTCTCTCACTCTATGTTTTAAGCTATAATATATAACCAAAAGATCGGTTATATATTATATACACACAGTATATAATTTTTATAATATATTATTTATTTTTACTATTTTGCGTTAATTAGTATATATATACAGAATATTCTTGAAACATTTATTTTGATTATATGGTTATGTGTTTCGCAATTCACTGCATTAACTGCATTAAATGTATAGTGATTTTTATAAATTTAAAACAATGATAGTCAAGAGATTTTCACTTAAATAATTACAAATATAACTGTACTAAATGTCACCTAATGTCAACCCATTACTGACTCTCTAAGTGAGCACTGGTATGCTAAATGCAAATGACTATCATTTATCTACCCTATCTATGTTTGTTGTACATATATAAGTTATACCTATATATATAAGTTAATAGCAAAAATTTATATAAAGTATAATAAATTGTTAAAAAAAACTTATTATTAAATGTGTAGCTATTTTAATAGCCAAACATTTTTTGAAAGAAAATTATTTAAATAATTAACACAAACTAAACTAAATTAATTATTACTTAATTGTACTTAAAATTTAATTACACATTTTTGTTGTATAAAAAATTTATAGCAAAATAAAAAACTATATAGTTTACAATAGAAAATGTCAAGAGAGAGAGAGAGAGAGAGAGAGAGAGAGAGAGAGAGAGAGAGAGAGAGAGAGAGAGAGAGAGAGAGAGAGAGAGAGAGAGAGAGAGAGAGAGAGAGAGAAAGAGAATATGCAATAAATTTTATTAGTGTCTCAGTCAATGTTGGCAGAGAAAAAATGTTTGTATAATACAAAGCGTATAATACAATATAAAATACATGACCAATTTGGTTTACAAAAAAAATAGTGCCACCTATTGCTAAAAGGATTGATATAAACAAAGTAAATCGTGTTTTATAATAACTATAGATTTAATATTTTTTTATTGAATTTCATTTTATATTTTTAATTATTTGATTATTACAACTTAGAAATAACGATTATAATAATAATAATGCATTTTCTAGAAATTATATTTTTACTAAATATTTTAAAGTAGTTTTTAGCATAATATACAGTATATTAGTTTTAATATTTGTATAATACATGCATTATATTGCATTTTACAGTATTATACAAAGTCAAAACCTTGCATTTTCCAACCCTGTTTCCAATATTATATACTATATTATATATATACTGTAGTATAATGTATATTTTATATAGTAATCTATATAGAAAATGCAAGTCACACACACACACACACACACATACATGCATGCATACACAAACACACATACTCATACATACTCACACATATACATACATACATGCACATACACACAATCGCATAAGCATTAACCTAGTTAAAACATAGCGTCATAAAAAGCAATAGTGGAAATGTCGCCGGGTCATTCACCAAAAAGCTACCAGTGCTCAACAAAAAAATAAATTGACAATAGATTTGAATGAAAAAAACCGGATCATATAAATAGATAAATACAATATAACTGAGTTTATATTTCTACATACTGTACACTCTCACTATACTATACACTGTGTATTATTAAAGCACATGTCGATAAATGTGACTAAAAATAGCGTTTGACATTTACAGTACAAATCGCATGAGGATTGACTGTACAATCAAATAAAAGAGAAAGAGATAGAAAAAAATCAGTGTTTAGTATATATATATATCAATATATATATACCGTATATATTGCAAGATATTATATAAATATATTATATATACTGTATATAATATTGTATGTTTGTTCATAAAAAAGTGCAAGTATTGACATTGTATTGTACATATCAATATAACCCAATGCATTGAATTTCATTGTATTATTGTACACATTTAATCATATTTACTATAAATAATATACTAGTACACAAATATTAATCACAAATGATGATATTATTGCTTTAGTAAAATCATTAATATAAGCTAAATCTAGTTTTTTTTTGGTTATATCAATAGTATATATATAATAACATATATAATATATTTGATTATTGATGAAAGTTTATTTATTGACAAATTGGCATATTGTATTGAATTGTATTGAATTGTATTGAAT